GCCAGGGCAGTCCATGGCAGGCTTTTTGAACGTAACAGTGGCTGACAGTCCCATGAACTGAGTGTAGGGTTGCCAGACGGTTTAACCAAAAATACTGACCCCACCCCCCCAAAAAAAAACACCGGGGAAAAATTCTGTTGAGGAAAAAAAAGGGGGAGACCAAAGTTGTTGAGAAAAAAAAGTGGCTCCTTTGCCCCCTTAAGAAATGATACTTTTGAGGCTTTTTGGCCCTAACAGGCTGCCAGCAGCCGTCCACCATCTTATTTCCCTGCTCCGGGCTGGACAGCTCCCCTGCAGCTAGGGTTGCCAGATGGTTGAAACAAAAATACCGAACAACCCCCCTCCCCCCCCCCAAAAAAAACGGGAAAAAATTCTATATTTTCTCAATTTATTTCCCAAACAGAAAGCTCAAATACTGCACTGACCGGTTCAAAACTGGACACCTGGCAACCCTATTGTGAATACTTTGGAGGAACTGGAGGTGGTGGAAAGAGGACTTAACCCACAGTTAGGGTTGCCAGATGGTTGAAACAAAAATATCGAAACCCCCCTCCTCCCCCAAAAAAACCAAACACCTGGAAAAAATTCTGTTGAAGGAAAAAAAGAAGGTGGGGGGAGACCAAAGTTGTTGAGCAACAAGAACAAGTTGGGAGCCAGGAGGGGCTCAGGGAGGGGGGGAGGCTGGGCCCTGAGTGTTTGTAGGTTGCCAGGTGCCCAGCATTTTTTACTCCTGGCCGGAGAAAAATTCAGAAAATACTGGACATTTTAGGTGTCTGGTATTCTCTGAATTTTTTTTTTACCAGACAGGAGCTAAAAATACCAGACTGTCCGGGTGAATACCAGACACCTGGCAACCCTACCTGCAGCCAGGATTTTCGCCTCTTGGCCAGGAAAAAAATCCGAAAATACTGGACATTGTAGGTGTCTGGTATTGTCTGAATTTTTTAACTGGACAGGAGGCGAAAATACTAGACACCTGGCAACCCTAACTGAGTGTGGCTATCTTGGTCTGCTTCCTACTGCTAAGGTGGCCACATCCTACCCGTCACCGTGGCTCCTTTGGCTGGGCCCCGGAAATTCAATCCCTCGCTCCCCTCTTTCTGGGGCAGAAAACAAAGGCAAAGACAGCGCTCAGCTGGTGTCTCTGAGTTTATCTTCCCCCTCAAACCGTGCACCCAAGTCAGCGGGTCTGGTGGTCAGTGTTGCCCGAGAGTGGCCTCTACTGAAATGTGAACAAGACAGAGACGGTTTGTGACATCCAGAACGAGTAATGACCAAGTAGGCGCGACACCGAGAGCCACGTCCTTGGCTGCAACGGCAGCTTAATGGGCCAGCTGAGGCTCCCGCGGCCTGGGGGACCACGCGGACATGCGGCTGGCTCTTTGCCACTGCCCCTCAAAGCCCCCAGTGAAGCAGGCGTGGCTGGACGTAGAAGCAGTAGGGAGGGGTGACCTGTCTCCTCCCCATCCCACCACCTCCCAGGAGGACCTGGGGAAGGTGGTTTCCTTTCATAAAAGTCCGAGAAACTTGACTGAAAGTTTGTCTCTCTGACGCACAGACCATTTGGGCTCCTTTTTGGGTGGCTGCGTAGGGAGGAACTGGGAAATTCCCTGGTCACCCAGGGTCCCAAAAGTCTGTCGCAGGGCATGGCCTCGGAGCCTGGGCAAGCCAAGAGGGTTCCTTATCAGCGTGCAGTTGCCCTGCCCAAGCTGACATCCTTGCGGCATCTCAGCATGAGTAAGCAAGTCCAAGCAAGTTCCTTCCCTTCTCCCCCCAGGCCTAGGTCAGCTCTCACACAAGGGGTCGGCAGCTTGCGGTTCCTTTCCCGAACCAGACGTCTCTCGTTGGCTCATCCGGCAAACCCGCTCCAGGCTTCGTGGCTCCCACAGGGCAGCTCATTCACTCCCTCACTGAGCAAAAGGAGACACGGCTGGAGGGGCTCTGTGCTCCAGCCACTCCTGACTCACAAAATGGCCTCTGGCGGCCACGGGCAGCCAAGTGTAATGTAGCGCGATCCCCGGCCCGCTCTGGAGCTGAGGAGCTGCAGAGTAGGCCAGGACTGGGGGTCCACAAACCTTTGCCTTGCTCCCTCCTCCCCACGTGGGTGCTGTGCTGAGCAGAGCCCGGCCGGTCAGAAGCACTGGGCCCCGAGACGGCACAGCAAGCACCTAGGATATACAGCCTGGCTTGATTCTCTATTCAGGGTAGGGATGTAAAATCCCAACTAATCAGTTAACTGGTTAGACATTAGATTAACCTAACATTTAACCAGTTAACCAACCAAGCTGGATCCCAGCTCTGGGGCCAGGAGCTTGCTGGCTGGAGCAGCCCCCAGCCTGCAGGGCTGGCCCCCGGGGTGGGGCTGCCGTTGGCAAAATCCCAGCCTGTGCTGGAGGAGCCCTTGGCCCAAGGCAGGCCATGGCTGTGGGGCCGTTCCTGGGACTGGTTAACTGCTTCCCGGTAAGCATCACCCAGTAAAGGTTACTGTTCACATCCCACCGGGGTAGGTGGCTTTTCCCCAGGATGTTGGTCCTGTGAATTCGCCTTTGGCGCCGGGCCTTTGACCTCTTGGTGTTCATTCCCCTGCTGATTCCGCTTTCCAGCAGCTATTTTCTGCCATGGCTGGAAAACCCTATTCTAGCTGAGGGCTCCTCTGGAACATTTCCAGCAGATAGCCAAGAGGTGCTGAGTGCCAGCTGACCATGCTGCACGCGGCTGGCCACCGTTCCCCTCACAACACAGTGCTTACAGGGTTCAAAAAAGAGCTGGATAAATTCAAGGAAGTTAGGTCCATCAGTGGAGGGGGGGGGGGGTGGGGTATCCCCAGCCTCTGTTTGTGAGAAGCTGGAAATGGGTGACAGGAGAGGAATCACTAGGTGATTCCCTGTTCTGTTCACTCCCTCTGGGGCACCTGGCACTGGCCACTGTCCGAGGACAGGATACTGGGCCGGATGGACCTTTGGTCTGAGCCCGCGTGGCCGTTCTTATGTTCTGTGCAGCGGGGAGCTCTGCTGATGCGAGCCAACAGCCCGAAACATCACATTACTTCCAGGTAGCAGGAACGCTGCCTGCCCCGTGGCTGTGCCTGCAGTGTCTGCGAAGCTCTGGTCAGGACAGCCACAGAAACTCTCCTAAGCAAATCCCTTGTGTGGTCAGGAGTTTTAAGCTGCCACTAGTGCCAGTGGCCATGAAGCAATGGATGGATCACAGGTGCCAGTGCAGGGGCAGCCAGGAGATCTGGGGGTGAGTGCCGCCCCTGCCTCAGTCTAGAGATGCCCCATGTTGTTGCGGGGGCCCAGTGGGGCGGGGCTGGGGCACACGTCCATCTTGGCCATGCTCCGTCCATCCACATTCTTCTCCGCTCTGCCCGTGGCACTCAGGGCTTCTGCGTGTAGCAAAGCAGCCCGACCCCCGAGGATCTTTTCAGAGGGGGCCCTAGCATCTGCCTCCCTGGCACAAACTGGCCCCAGACCAATGACGAACCCTATGCAGAAAGTCCAGTTTGCCGGAGCTCACAGCCCGTCCTAGGCTGGGAGATGACAACGTTCAGCGCCGCCAGCCACTCCTTCTGCTCCCGGTCGTTTTCACACACACACACAAACTTCCTGTGTGGCGTGACTATGGTGAGCCCAGCCTTCCACTTCTTCCCGCTGACTCCTCGGGGCAAGTCAGCCTGGACTTCATAGCCCTGCTCTTTGTGTCCAATAAACACGTGGCCCAGTTCAAAGGCATCCTGGGGAGGAGAAAGCAGGACAGTTACAGACCATTTTACAGGGTTCGTGGCTGCTCGGGGGTGGCGCTGCGCTGCCATCTGGAAAGCAAGGGCAGGAGGTTCCATGTGGAAGGGACGCTACCCTGGGTCCAGTGCCGCTGGGCTTCAGGGAACGGCCCAGAGGTTTATAAACCCAAAGGCGTTTTCAAAATAAGGAACTAGAGTGCTGTGGATTTTGGAGCTGGGGGGGGTGTGTGCTTGGTCATACCAAAACCACGGGGAGGATGTCCTGTGTCCAAAACACAGCACTGGGAAAGCACAGCCCTAGGAATGTTCCGGGCTCTGCTACTTCCTCCTTGGTCATCTCCCCCGAGGTTCTCTCGAGAGCTGCTCCCCACCAGCAGGGAGGTGGGGGCAGGCAAACTTTCCAAAGAGCTCAAGGCCAGATCCGCCAGCGCTCCGCTCCCAAGGGGCACAGCTCTCCTGAAAATCCGGGCATTCACTCCGGGGTCCAAACAGGAATGGAGTTCTCCGAGGCTCGTGCAGTCACCGGAGAGGGGGTGAGAGAGAAACGCAGGAAAGGGGCTCTGCTCACGGGAACAATCCTCTTACCAACGGGTCTTTAAAGTACAGCAGGTTCCTCTCCTGGGAGTCCAGGCTGAACCAACGCTTCTTAAAGGCCTCCTTGTGCTGCAGAGAGAGAGAAGCTCTTCAATAAGCTGGCGTCCAGAAGCAGGGGTCTGCCCACTCGTCCAGGCCTCGGCTCTGCAGCTCACTCCGTGCGTTGGCTGTGTCAGTTTCTCTGTGTAACCTGCATTTCTGCGGCTCAGCGTTGGCCATGGCGTCCCCCTCCCTTTCCCCGCCATGACAACCCGAGTGACGCGGGTCCCTTCCTCTCCAACACATAATCTGCCGCCGTGGGAGGCAGAAATGGAAGCAAGACACTCGCCCCCTGGGCTGAGCTGGGCAGGCCCTGCTCTGGGGCTTGCTGCAGCTTCCGCCGAATTTCGAGTTTCATTTAAAAAAGCCAAGTGTCTCCAGCCCAGGGGTCTCAAACTCCCAGCCCACAGGCCATCCCCAGCGAGCAGTTGTACAATCCGGCCCAGGAGGCCCCGCAGGCCAGGGGGAGGCCTGCGAGTTCCCATCCCCCAACCGGACGAGGTGGAGCAGGGGTCTCAAATCCCCGGCTGAGGCAGTTTGGCCCAGGAATCCCTGCAGGCTGGGGGCAGGGGCTGTCCGTTCCTGTCCCCCAAATCCCACCCCTTCCTGCCATCGCACTGTCCTCCTCCCCCCATGGCAACCTGTCCCCCAAGGATGTGGCTTTAGGGATTACTGGGGGAGGGGGGGTTAACGCGGGGAGAGAGCAGCAGTCAGATCCCCCCTGCACTGCCTGTGGCGACAGGAGCCGGGGGAAGTGGAGCGCACTCAAGCGGGCGCTCTCACTCCGCTTCCCTGCGGCTCGGTGTGGGGGACCTGGCCACTGCTGCCACCCCGCACCAGGCCCCTGCCCCTGCCGGTCCCTGGTGCTGCATCCTTGGGGACAGGGTGCCATGGGGGGAGGAGGGCAGTGCGATGGCAGGAAGAGGTGGGATTTGGGGGACAGGAACGGACAGCCCCTGCCCCCAGCCTGCAGGGATTCCTGGGCCAAACTGCCTCAGCCGGGGATTTGAGACCCCTGCTCCACCTCGTCCGGTTGGGACTCTTCCAAAGGGGAGGGGGCACGGAGCCTCCTGGAGGCAGACAGACTGAAACGGCGCCTGTGTGCCTGAAGTACCCTGACAAGTGCTATTTCCATCCCAGTGTTACGTGTCCCTGCTGGGCCTTTAAGCAGCAACACTGACTCAGGGTGGAGCTTGAGTACGTGGGCAGAGCTAAGGTATGCCAGAGACGCAGCAGCGCCTCCGTTTCCCCCACTTCCCTTACTGAGCCAGCGGGCTAGGACTCTGTGTAATGCTCAGGTCATGGACTCGGGGACTTCCTGAGACCTCTGTGACTTCTGCAACAGCTGGTGCAGCTGACCCCACCCCAGAGCCACACAAATAGCTGGGCACATCCCAAGGCCAGCCATACTGGCCACTGCTCAGCTCCAGGCTGCCCTGGAGCAACAGTTTGGGAGCAGCGATGCCACTCTGTGCTCCCCCAACATCAGCAGTGGCTGGCCCTGTGCGTTCCCCCCCCCAGAGCAGCAGCAGCAGCAGCAGCAGCAGCAGGGCCCCAGAGCACCCCCCCCTCCTGAAACAGCAGTGTCTGTTGGAGTGAGCCTCTTCCTGAGCACCCAAGCTTTAGTTAGGGGCATTTTTAGTAAGAGTCATGGAGACGTCACGGGCTGCAACTTTGTGTTTATAGCCCCTGACTGATCTGAGCCCTAAATCGTAGCCGTAACTATGCGCCTGCATACAAGAGGAGACCTGATGAGGGCAGAGGTTTGCATGATGGTGATCATCATTGTAATGCTTCTGCTGTTCTGGGTGTTATTTGAAGATAAGAACCTGAGGTTAGCAAAGATACTGATGATACTACCGCCTCCTTGTGCTAAATAATATAACTCTGCTCTCCCAGACGTCATCCCCCCAATTATTCCATCACACTTTTAGCTCGTCTGGGAAGAAGGATCCCTCAAAGTCATTTTTCATGCAAAAATAAAACCAGCTCCCAAAGCACTTGATGGACTGAAAGACCGTGCTGTGTAATGGGGATGCACTTACACATGACTCCTCGCAAGCTCCTTCAGCGTGATCCTGGCAGTTTAGCCAACATACTGCGTAAGGGGAGGAGCCATGTTTGGCAAGTGCCAAGCATTTAAGCAGTGGTTAACCAGGTATGAAATTCAAGTGGAACTACCTTTGGCCCAGTTTTCTCCATATAGCCTTCCTTGAAATAATTCCTTGTAATCTTGGGTAGGAGCTAGAAGAACACAAGAGACATTAGTTACCGCCCGTGCTCTGTGCTAATTTGTCAAAGCAAACAATCAGAGGGTTTTTGCTTGTTTATTTGCCTGCCTACTTACTAGAGCAGTTGTTACCAACCAGTTGATCGGGATCTTAGAGCCTCTGACAGGTGATCCTGATGGTTTGGCCAAGAGGCTGTCAAGTACCAACCCTTCAGCTGCCCCTCCCACCATTGCTGCACACCTCCTGCCCTTTGTTTTGAAGCTACCCCCTCCCCAGGAACCTCCTGCTTGCTGTGCAGAGCAGGGAAGGGAGAGGAGGGGCACTGATGTCAGGGTGCCCCCACTCCCACCCTGTATTCTATCTCCACTGTGACTTCTGCAACTGCTGGTGCAGCTGACCCCACCCCAGGGCCACACGGAGGGGGGGGGGGCTACAAGAGGGCTTGGGATGGAGGGAGTTTGCTGGCTGCTTTTGGGAGTGGTGTGGGGCCATGGTAGGGGTGAGCCTGTCTTAGCCCCACTGCACCTCCACCCAGGAGCCACTTGAGGTAAGCAGTGCCCAGATGGAGCCAGCTCCGAACCCCTGCTCAGTCATGAACCCCTCCTGCACCCCCAACTCCCTGCCCCAGGCTCAGCTCAGCCCCCCTCACACTCCAAATCCCTTAGTCCAAGACCAGAGCCTGTGCCCCAACCCTCTGCCCCTTCCTGATGAAGGAAGGGAGGATGGAGTGAGCAGGGGGGGCCTTGGAGAAGGGGTACAAAGGAGGCAAGTCAAGAGTGTTTGGGTCTGAAGGAGATCCTGGATTGCACTTAAATTCAAAAAATGATCTTGTGCTTCAAAAGGTTGGAGACCCCTGTACTAGAGGGTCATTCTGTTAAGGGCATTTTTCAAAGGATGCCATTTTTTAACTTCCAAGTTTGATCTCCCTTTTGCAGACTGCATGTACATAACATGTTCCTCCCTGCGAGGTTGTCCTGAGTCCTCCTTATCCAAACTTAATTGCTAATTGGTACTAAAACAGCTGCTGTCTCGTTATGCAGAAGGAGGAGGAGCTAATCCTTGATCAAAGTGAATAATATATTGGGGACAGAACACACACACACCACAAAAAGAGAGACAAATTCTGTCATGTCAATGGAAAGGAGAAACACCACAACTGAAACTCAGAAATAACTTGGAAGCTGCCCGATTGATTGGCAGACTTCATGCTTGTTGGAGTGACATTCAATGCCAGACCTCTCTGTAGAATAGTAATAGAGATCTGAGGAAGTGGGTCTGGCCCACGAAAGCTCATCACTTAATAAACCATCTTGTTAGTCTTTAAAGTGCTACTTAGTCCTGTTTTTTGTTTCAGACCTCTCTGTGTGACTGGCAGTGGATTATTCCCCCAGGAAAGGACCTGGGCTGTCATCTCAACAGGGGAAGTAAAGGGGTTAATGGATTCTTGCCTTGGTACCAGAAAACTGAGAATCACTAGCCAAACATCAGTGGCGGCACTGGAGGATGAGTAGGCCTGATGGTATGCATGGAAAGTAATATTGCAAGTGGCTGGCAAAATTAACATAGAACAGGAGGGTTCCAGCAAACGGACAGAGTGAAATGAGCAAATGGCTAATGGAGAACAGGAAATTCAGTCATTCATTCTCCATCAAGGGCTAGAGAAGTGTTGATAGAAATGTTAGTTCCGTTTAAGAAAGGACGATACTTCGCCCTTATTCAATTTCTGAAAGTTCCTTTACAGAAATCCTTGATCGGTGTGTCACAAGACCCCTCTACGGTTGGTCCTTATTCCTAGGTGGGCATGGGAAGATGAACCAACTCCATCGAGTAAGCAGCAAAGCTAAGCCCAGAACTCAGAAGTCCTGGCTTCCAATCCCTTAGGCCTGCCATTAAATCTGATTTCCCTCTGCTGACTGAACTGAAATATGTTTCAAGTAAAAGAATCCCAGAAAAGACTGATACGTGGGGGTATGTCTACACTACCCCGCTAGTTCGAACTAGCGGGGTAGTGTAGACATACCCTGGGTTGAGCCAAAGGAGTTGAACTTCAGTGTTTATAGTCATGACACTCAACTTTAACAGGGCTGTCAGAAGTAAACTCAGACAAATTTCCTGAAACAGGTTAAGCTGTGTCTTGTATTTCTAGAAACAAGGAAAAAGGGAGGAAGGGGTGAGAGAGAAAGAGAGATATAGAGAGTGTATGTGTTTGAGACAGAGAGAGAGGGACAGATTCATTCAGCCACATCAGCCCAGAAAAACCCTAGGAACGAACAAACGCACGCGCACACAGAGAGAGAAGGTGTTATATAAATGAGTTTTACAGAACCAGGCTCTCCAAAATGGGCACAGCAACCCAGCTTCCCAGTGGCCAGGAAAGGCCGGGGCCATTCCACGCGGCAGCCCTGGCCCACAGCTGGTTGGGCAGGGCTTGGCTGAGATGGTGGGGGGAGGTTATGAAGGGGCATGGTCTCGGATGAAGGGTTGTGACTTGGGGTGGGGCTTTGGCTGCCTTCCCCAGCTAGACTTTACCCATCACCTATGTGTCTATCAAAGCCCCTCCTTGTGGTCCTTACCGCCCCCAAAAGCAGGGAAAAGGGACACAGAAGGGATTCCCAACGCCATGCTCCTGCCCTGGTGACAAAGGCACAGGCACAGAAAGGAAGCAGATGCTTTTTCATGCTTAAAGCACCTTCAGTTCTCACCTCGGCCTCAGGAGTAGTGGGGAAGGTGGTTCTAAGAAACTGCAAACGCGCTGCCCGAATAGCATTGAACCAGTCAACAATTTCCTAAGGGAGACAGTGCATACCAATGTGAAGACAGGAGAGATGGGATGGGATAATAATGCTGCCTCTGTCACCCAATGGGTCTGCAGGCTCTTTTGCAAACATTTATTGTTGCTTCCACCAGAGCCTTTGAGACACTGAGGGGCAGAGAGGGTGACTTGCCCTAGGTCACATAATGAGGAAGTGGCAGAGAACCCAGGAGTCAAGTCCTTTACTCCAACCATCAGACAACATTTCCTAGGAAAGACAAGCTATGTGACAAGCATGGACTGCCATTACTGAATACAGGTTGAAACTCACTAGTCCGGCACTGTCTGGTCTGCCCCGGCATGGCTTTAGTGAGCTGAATGTCCATTTATCATGAATGTGGCCAAGTTTCCCGCAGTCCCACTGTGATGTGTGGGAGTGCTGTACACTCTTGTGGCCCTGGATCCACTGGTTCCTGTGAATTTGGGGCACTGCTGGGTCTTAATGTCCTCCCACCCCCTCTTCCTGTCTCTGTCCTGTAACTCTGCTTCCTCCAGAGAGGATCTAGTGAATTTAAAAGTGACAAGGCCTGCCAGGCCTATCAGCAGAACACTGAATCTCTGAAAGAGCCATTTGTGTAGTAATGAAGCCATTTAACAGGCATATGCTAACTCTAGTTTCTGAAACCTTCAGGCTCTGAATTTACTGTGTTTAGCTACAGGGTGTTATTTTTAAAGCAAATTTTAAATGTGTGTGTGAGTGAGTGAGAGAGAGATGGTGGATCTTTGTGTGTGTGTGTGTGTGTGAGTGAGAGTGTGTGTGTGTGTGTGTGTGTGAGAGAGCGAGAGAGAGAGAGAGAGAGAGAGATGGTGGATCTGTATGTGTGTGTGTGAGAGAGAGAGGGTGCGTGTGTGTGTGTGTGTGGGTGTGTGTGTGTGTGTGAGAGAGCGAGAGAGAGAGAGAGAGAGAGAGATGGTGGATCTGTATGTGTGTGTGTGAGAGAGAGAGGGTGCGTGTGTGTGTGTGTGTGGGTGTGTGTGTGTGTGTGAGAGAGCGAGAGAGAGAGAGAGAGAGAGAGATGGTGGATCTGTATGTGTGTGTGTGAGGTGTATGTGTGTGTCTGTGTGTGTGTGAGAGAGAGAGAGAGAGAGAGAGAGAGAGAGAGAGAGAGAGAGAGATGGTGGAATCTGAACAAAGCAAGGGCTGTGGCTGCCTGGGGGCTGAGGGACCAGTTGCTGAGGGTTGGGGCAGTCTTAGCGGAGGGAAGCATGAAGAAAGGAGACTAAGTCCAGGACGGTGGTTCAGGGGCCTGTGAACTCCTTTCCCCAAAAAAGACTAGGCTCTGACCCGGCTCCTATGTCAGCGTTGAGCCTGTGCTGCCTGCTGAGAGTCACATCTGGCTGCGGATGGGGGTGCAGGTTTGGGGGCTCCCCGATGCACCATCACACCCATAAAGTTTGTCCTGACTCTCGGGGTTCTGTGCTGTTATTTAGCTCTAATATACCCCCAAATGTCTTCTAAGAGCCCAGTGAGCAGTGGAAATGTTGGTAACGCTGCTAGACAATATGGACTTCCTGTGCTTTGGCAAATTCTCTGGTTAGGCACTGGTCAGGTCCCGAGGATGCCACATTAGAGAGGTTCGGTAGCAGCACATATTGCCTGTGGTTCATGTTTGGGATGAATGACATGAACACATTCTAAATATTATGCATATTAATTATCAGTATTCATAATCATAGACACATAGAACTGGAAGGGACCTCGATAAGTTATCTAGTCTAGTCCTTGCCCTGAGGCAGGACTAATATTTATCTCTAGACATTCCTGGCAGGTGTTTGAAATAATACATTTGGGAGCAATGCTATTTTAGTCACTGTTACAGCAACACTTGTACTGGGATCAGGTGCTGTGGCTTGCTCTTGATGTGTTTCCAAGACATTTCAGATATTAATAAGCAAACTTCAAGAATCGTTTAGAAAATGCCCTTTCAAAAAGCTTTGTGGGATAATGGTATCCCTAGAATTCCTATTGGGATACTGATCAGATTAACTCACAGAGACTGTGGGAATAATTTTTAATTGGTTCAATGAGCACCTGCTTAAAACCTTTTGAATCTGGATCTGCCTAGGTTGTGAGTACTTGGCAGGGGGGAATTGGTTTGGGGAACAATCATGCTTCTGAGAAAACCAGAATAAAACCTCTACAGATTTGATCTAAGACTGAGAACTGTTTTGGACTGAATTAAAATACAAAACATGAGAATTATCTCTATTTTTTGGAGTTTTTCACACCTATCACAAGCACTTCCCTGAATATAACTGCAGACTTGTACACGGTTTGGCCCCAGTCCTATGAAAACTCATGCATGTGCTTAACTCTTTGGACTGCAAGTAGACCCACTGAGACTGATCACAGCACATGCAGCAAGCAGTATCAGGCCCTCATAGAGAGTCAGGAGACCAATATAAATGGATACCTATAGCTACTTGTACTGTAAAATTCTGTAACTACCCTCTGCAAATCTCTAGAGGCTACGTCTACAACACCATGGCATTTTTGCGGAAGAGGAAATGCAAATGAAGTGCTCATTTGCAAATCTCATGCTCTTATTTGCATATTCTCTTCCAATCCTTTTTACGGAAGAGGTTTTTGCAGAAAAAAACCTGGAATGTAGATGGGGCCATTTTTCGGCAAAAAACCCTTTTGCGCAAGATCCTCTAAACCTAATTTTTTGAGGAATAAGGGATCTTACGCAAAAGGGTTTTTTCCCGAAAAATGGCCCCTTCTGAACTGCAGGTTTTTTGGAAAAACCTCTTCTGCAAAAAGGATCAGAAGAGACTATACAAATGAGAGTGCGAGATTTGCAAATGAGCGCTTCATTTGCATTTCCTCTTCTGCAAAAATGCAATAGTGTAGACGTAGCCTGAGTGATTTCAGCTGAGGCTGAAAGGGAGAGATGTAGCGATAATATTCCCTCCTAAGGCATGTCTACATTAGGAAATTATTTAAAAATAATTACATTTGAAATAACTCCCGAAACAACAAAATTGAAATAGCGTGTCCCCACTATGGGAGAGCCTCGAAATTAGTTCAAGGCAGGCTCCGTTACTGTGGATGCACTATCTTGACTTGAAGCCTGAGGAAACTAATTAGTTTGACTCTGAGGAGTTATTTCGAAATAGCAGCAGCGAAGCAGTCACATGAATGCTATTTCAAAATATATAGGTGGTATCATGAGCTTTCGTGGGCACAGTCCACTTCTTCAGATGACCGGAGTTTTGAGTTTAAGATGTGCAGACCCAAAATAAATAGCGGAGACGGGGGAAGGGAAAAAAAGGAAGGGGGGACTGGAAACAAGGAGCAGAGGTTATGAAAAAATCAAAGTGAAAAACAGGAAGGCAAAATAGGCAATCCTTGTTTCCTGCCCCCGCCCCCTTCCTTTTTTTTTCCTTCCCTCTTCTCCCCTATTTATTTTGGGTCTGCACTTCCTAAATTCAAAACTCCAGTCATCTGAAGAAGTGGGCTGTGCCCATAAAAGCTCATGATCCCATCTACATGTTTTGTTCGTTTATTAAGTGCTATTAGATCAGTTTGGGTTTTTTTTTTTGTGTTTTAAGTTTCTCCTGTACAGACTAACTCGGCTACCCCGAATATAAGCGTTATTCCCCGAGGAAAACAGGAGTACAGACTGCAAAATAACCAGCACATTATTTCAAAATAATGGGCATGGTAGTGTGGATGCGCTGCTTATTATTTCAAAATAAGGGGGGGTTCTTTCACAAGACCTGCCTCATGTAGACCAGGGCTTGCAGACCCTGTGCTCAGGTGTCTACCTTATTAATTACAAAATCATCAGGGCACTTACCTTACCACTTTCATGATAGACAAAGAGGTTCCTCATCTGACCTTCTTTGCTGTATGTGATCTGCAACCCATGGGGGTTTCTGATCTTCTCCGTCTGGAACATGGCGTTCAGATCTTTTATGCTAATCACAGCTTTCGGACCTCTAGACTGGGGAATGGAAAAAGTCATCGGGTCAGCAGTGACCCTGACGGAAGCCAATCAGGAACGATGGAGACAAATCACCCATTAGGGAGGTTTAAGTAGCTAACCAGCTGAATGATAGCACTTAACTGGTTAACTGTTTTAATCAAGGGCCTGCTATCTGGGCCCACTGCAGCGTGAGGTTCTGTTCCAGCTGGGTGCGGCTGACCACCGGAGTTCACTGGCCAGGGCTGGTTAAACGAGAAGCCTACCAACAAGCCTCCTGTTTCCTGGTATGCTCACCGGTTAACATCCCGATGACTGACGGGCCCTTAGAGAGCTGCAAACCAGCTTCCTGAAATGTCTGAAGCCAGCAGGGCACAGAACTGACTGTTGAGCACCAACTGAAGAAGCCCGGCTCCTCCTCCGGCTCAACTGCCCAAGTCTCTTCACCCTGGTTCATCAGTGAGATGGAGGGTGGGGCTGCCAGGGAGATGGAGGAAAGGGCCAGCTGCTCCCAGGTAGGAAGAGAGACGTATCAAACATCCCAGGTGTTACCTGGCACAGGGTTCCAACCTCCCTTCAAATGCAAAGGTGGGCCTGGCAGCAAACTGTTCAGCAGCTGAGCCTATGGGGAGAGTGATCATGTCCTGGATGGATTGGACACCGTTTGGTTTGCCCGTGGCCGGTGGGGGCCCTCACCTCTTTGGTGTAGTACTTCAGCACTCCATCCCATGCCGACAAGAGGAACCGCCTCTTGAGGAACCGCCTGCTGTCCCGCCCGCGCTTCCACAGGAACCCTTCACGGCTGCCTGCAGACGGGACCAAGAGCGAGGGCATCTGAGCACTAGGGTCACAGCAGCACAGGGTCTAAGTGGTTATCCAGGCATTCGTTTCCATCTCACACACTAAGGAGAATGATCCCCTTTCATTCGCTCTGGCACCCAGGTCCCAATCCTGAGAGACACTGCAGGTCAGCTCAAGTTCCTCAGTCCAGGCTGAGCCTAGCACATCCCAGCAATCTACCTCACCCTAATGACATGCTTCCACCATTCGAAAGTCCTCTCTTCATAGCCCTCTCCACACCCCTGGCCGGACTGAAAATCCCCTTTTTACAGGAGGAACACAAGACAGTGGAGCATAGTGGTTAGAGCAAAACCTGGACTGGGAATCCCGACGCGTACATCTTACTCCAGTTACTTCTTACGTGGATCTAAGGCAGTGAACTGAGTCGCTCCGGGCTTCTGTGTCGCCACCTGAACCATGGGGAATCTGGACCCCTCGCAGAGGGGGAAAAGGAGATGACTTCGGGTGTGTCTACGTGAAAGTTTTTAGTGACACAGCCGTGTCGACCCAGCCCTCTCACTGAAAGTCGGTGCATGTGAATGCTGTTTGCCGGCACTTTTGCCAACACAATACTTCCACCCCCAGTGGGCGGGTTTTGCTTTGCTGGCAGGACAGCATGCCTGCCGACGAAGCAGCGTTCACACGTCCGCCTGCCGCAGCAAAACCTCCTTGTGCACAAGGGAGAGGACTAAACACTTGTGAACAACAAAAGTTTTATCAAGCAAGTGCAAGCGGAGACACAACCGGAATGTTTGGCAGCCTTCTGTGGAAGCACAGGTTGTGAGTGTCCTGTTGCGCTCTGCTAAAGCCACAACCTCCTTGGGAAGACCAAGATCAAGGAAAGGGGGGAGTGAGCTTCCTTTTAATCCCAAGGGTGCGGCTCCCTATTCCCATCATGAGGGCAACTGCCAAACAACCAGTCCCCTGTATGATCAGGGCTGACATCCATAACTCCAGCTGAAATGAATGGTATCATAGGGGCTAAGCGCCTGTGAAGATCAGGCCCGAAGGGAATGCCTAGACTGCAGTTACACCCCCATGGCTGGCCTCTTTCAGATGACTTAGGCTGTACAACTGAGTTACAGAGATTTGGGCTTATGCTAGAGCCCGGGCTCTGAGACCCTCCTCCCTGACGGGGGTCTCTGCACTGCAGTTTTACAGTCCTAGCCTCACAAACCCAAACTGGCTGAGCTGGGCTGGCCGGGGGTGCTGAACTGCAGTGCAGACGTACCCTCCACCGACTTGCCCAAGGCTGTAGAGTCAGCTGCAGAGTGGCTCCGACTGTCTAGGCTGCCTCCCCCAACTAGGCATCTGGGGGCTCATCTTGGACCTGAAGCAAGAAAATGCCCCTTTTACTTGCCGTCCGTCCAATGTGAACATCCCCCCTTAATTAGATGCCCACCCTCAGAGGCTGGGTCTCCCCGGGGAAAGGATTTTGGCTGCCCACCCAAACTGATCAAACAGGCTGCAGGTTTTGCAGCTGACTGAATACAGAATCACTCCAGCTCCCCCCAGCCTCATTGACACACATGGGATTCCAGTTCTTTGGGACTTTTGCTTCATTTTTGCAGTCACCTGAGGAACCTGTTTCATGGCAGACACTGCTGGCAACAAACTCTTCCCGCTCGTATTTAGCTCTGATCCACTGTTCTTTTAAAACCCTGAAGAGAGGAAATAGCAATTAGTCGGGCCGGCTTCTGTTTTCTTTCACTGATATTCCACAGCCCTTCCCAGCTGTGGACACCCAATGCCCCCTGACACATAGAAACAGCCTCTGAGTGCTGCAAATTCACTCTCACTCCCGTGTCTCCTAGGAGAGCAGTTGAAGCCAACAAAGAGACATGACTGGAGAAGAGGGCAAAACGTTTAGTAGCTGCCTGCCTGGGTAACATAGGCTGGTGGGAATGACTATTTGCTGGCAGCAGAACTAAACTCCCACTCATATAAGTTCACAACTGAAAAGTCTCCTGTTACTTTCTTGGCTAGTTTCCATGCAAGCAGGAGGAAGAATCTTGCTCCCTAATGGGCAGAGTAATTAACATGGGTGGTTTTGTAGGGAGGGGGAAATATATGTAATGAACAGGAGAGGAAATGAAAACCACCCACAGAACTAACCCAGCTTCCCTGACTCTTAGAAACACCCGAGAGCTGCTGCAAAATGGAATGTGGGGAACATTCAGATCCCAGACAGAAACCATTGTCCCTGGTAGGGTTCAATGCTGTGTAATTAGCAGATTCCCTGCTTGCACCTTGCAGTCTAAAGCTGGATGGCTGGTGTCCAACTTAGAGGCTGGGGCTCTCTTGTGTGTCAGCAACGTGTTGTACTCCTGAATCTTTCCACTTAAGTCACAGATCTGGGTCCCAAGCCAATGGCCTGCCCATGCAGACATAGTCATACTGTTACAAAGTAGCTGAGTTAATAGTATTTAGAACACAGGCCTAATCCTAAAGCTGGGAACATCATGTCCAACCCTCCAGAGTTTTAGCTCTAGGTCTAGAATTCACGGCCCAGGCCTCTCTCTTATGAGAGCCAATTCGTATCCCCAAAACCTCCAGGACTGCTCCCTACCTCACTTAAATCTCCCTCATACAAATGCATGGAACTACTGTATAAGTCTAATGACCTTCCAGGTACAGAGACATGCTTGGGGACTGAACCTGTGGCTGTTTGGCTTCTAGACCCCAGAAATCCCAATGTTGAAGCCATTAAAGCACCTCTCACGGAAAATAAGTTTACAACTATAGCCCTCCACCTGAGGTGCTAAGGTGCTACTGGAAACAAGAAGATCAAACCAAATATCACTTCATGACACACCAGGTACAGCCCAGACAAATGGCCCTTTCCTCTGCAGCCCGGCGTGACCTGACATTCATTCAGATTAACAAACATCCTACTGGAAATTGATACAGGTTGAACCTCCCTGGTGTGGCATCCTCAGGACCTGAGTGGTCCCGAATGAGGGAGTTTGCCAAACAAGGGGAAGTCCCCTGCCACTGGACCTCCCTGCTGCCGTCCCCGGCTGCCCCCCTGCCACTGGCCCCCGCCCCGCTGCTGAGGGCTGCCAGAGCTCTGGCCCTGTTATTGCCAGTCCCTTTGGGCTCCCATGCCAGCAGGGCTCCCAGCTTTTGGCCCTCCTACCACTTGGCTCCCGACCCCAGGGCTCTATGGTCCAGGAACATCCATGATCTGGCAGAACCACGGATGTTGCCAGACCAGGAAGTCCTGGTTTAGGGAGAAGCAATCTGTAGTGAAAACAGATGTATGGGCAAGCAGTAGTTCCTGATCTGTAAAGGTTTGTGACACTATAAGATAGCAGCTTACAGGCAGTCCTTGGAGTCGGGGATGTAATAGAAAGGAGGGACTTTTGCCTCATATTTAGCCTTGGCACAGAAATTTCCATGAGTCCTCATAAACTGCAAGACAAAAGATGAGTTAGATGAGTGGCAACCAGAAAAAGCAATACCTTGAGGTGAACATGGAATGACAGAAACTAGGATCAAATGCGGGATTGTGCTTTGCTCAGATGTTTTGCCAGCCTCCCCACAGCGGAGTGTGTTTGTCTCTAGCCATTTATAATCTCCTCCCTGGCATGACAGTTTGCACCCGTTTGTGTGTGTGATCTTTATTTCAGCCTGTATATTGATCTACATTATACTATCAGTGCTGGAAAACTGGGACTTGCTGATTAATTTAAAACACAAGATAGAAGAAACTGAGGAATAGGATTCCTCTATAATATCTGTGCAGTAATTCCTCATTTAACACTATAGAGATGTTTCAGAAAATGATCGTGTTAAGTGAAATCGCCAGGAGGGGGAGGAGAAGAGAAAGAGAGAGACGGAGAAAGAGGCAGGGGGGGGAGGGGGGGTGAGGGGGGGGGGGGGGGGGGAGGGGACAGGGTTACAGCAGGGAGGGGAGGTGTTTGGGAAAGGGAAGGGAAGGAGAAGGGAGGGGGATTGGGTTGGGAGTATGCCCCTGTGATGGGTCTGCCGGGACCTGCACTGTGTCTGGCAAGGGGGGGTTGCCAGGGAATGGCGCGGCGAGCGGCGAACCCTCCGCCGCTTTGCAGGGAGGCAGGGGAAGCCCCGTGCAGCTGCCAGCAATGGGCCGGCTGGGGAAATTGTGTTATTCCGGAGACGGTTGTGTAATTAAAAAAAACCTTCCCTAAAAAAAAAATCGTGCTATCGTGAAAACATGTTAAGCAGGCCCGTGTTAAATGAGGAATTACTGTACCTTCAGCCCCCAGATGTCAAATGGGGATAATAATATGTATACCTCCCTACAGGGAGATGGGAGGCTGAATTCATGTTTGAAAAGGGCATTGTGATGCACAGACACTAGATATGTGAAAATCATTGTATACTTGTTATAAAACACAATGTACACTTATGGGGCTATATAAATGGTCCTTCGTAATATATCAGAGGCACAACCACCTATTAGTGTGCTTTGATTTGACTTTTTGGGCCAGAGGCATCCCCAGAAGCATCAGCAAGGATGAATTTGGCTCTGTGAGGTTTTTGTTAATCTGACCAGGCTATTTTGGAACACAGGACAGAAAAGGATGAGCTGAATTGCAGCGGATTGGATGTGAATTTTTGCTTTCTCCATCTGTACCTCTACTAGATCATTCTCCCAGAAGTCAAGGTGGAGGGATTTGACCCTGCTGATTTCAGGAAGGTTGCGATGAATTCCAGAGCAATTCAAACAAATGAATATTCCAAGTTTGTAAGAGGCCCACTCGGGATCTAAACACAAATGGAAAAAAAGGCAGCAGTGTAAAAACAGAGCATATATCAAGCCACTGGAAAGGGGACAACTATGTGTGTGTGGGGGGGGGAGGAGGGCAGTGTCACCTTCTAATCAAAACTACATCAGAAGTTGCGTCAAATCCAACCCTGGTGTATGTGGGACTGACCCCTTTGCAGACAATTAAATGGCACCTGCTTTCACTAGCCATTAAAGTGTCTCATTGTTCTGCTGCTTTGCTACCAAACATCTGGTTTAAAAATGAATGTGGATGACAAGCAAGAGAGGAAACCTGTACAGGTGGGCAGGACAACAGCAGAGGAAAAGCTGGGCTTGTTACTGGGAGCACAGGAGCCGCCTGGTTGACCACTTGTGTTACACTAATGCCAAGTGCACACAGTTGTGCATGCGCTGTACCACTGGAAATTAGGCCCTTGGGGTACAATTGTCAGAAACTTCTAACTAACTTAGTAGCCCAAGTCCAATGTCTAGAAGTGATTTAGACACATAGGGCTAGAAACACAATAGGACTTGGTGTCTAACTGCCACTCTCACTATCTAAATCCCAGAATCAGGCCCCTTCTGCCACAGGAACTGCCAAACCCTGGAGGTGCCTACACTTGCTTGGGACTTGGATTTTTGCAGTAAAAGTTCCCTATGCACCCACATTTCTCTGCACACCACACGTGCCTGCAGGCCCACACCAGGCATCCACACCGCTAGGCCCAGAGTGCTTCATGAGCCAGTAGAGGATAGGTGTTCCTCCACTTAGCTCACCTCTGAGGCCCACATGCCACAGCTGGCCTACCTGATCAAGGCCCTATCAGTGAGCTGACACAATACAACAGAAGAGGCAGATCTCCCTCAGAAATGTTAGCCCAGTGGTTAGGGAGAACCCTGGTTCAAGTCCCCCTTGAAGAGGGAGAAAGGATTTGAATATCTCATGCATCTCAGGGGACAGCCCAAGCCATCAGACTATGAGATATTCTGACAAGAGGCTCCCTCAGTCTGTCCTGCTGTGGATAAATCATTGACTGGAGTCAGGGGACTGGACAGGACCCTGAGACTCTGTCCTAGTGAGTGTTCCAACCAACAAGGCCACAGAGTCCCTCTCTGTGTGGCTGGCCCCATGATCCTTCCACTCTCGATCCTCTAGAACAGCTTCAACAGGCCATCTAAGGGAGCCCCATATCCAATATCCCTGTCCCTGTGGTTAGGTGCTCACCTGAAGGGTATCAAATCCTTTGTCCTCTCAGGTTGAGGAGGGCTTGAAATGGGGGCTCACCCACATCCCAGGCAGGTGACTATCCTCAGCCTTGGGCTACTGAAGCAACTTCTGGCTCCTTCCAGAAGCAGCACAGGTGCCTAACAGGGTTTGCAGCTAATAGTCTCATGCAGAGGAAGGTGCCTCCTTCCAAGCCAGATTCACATCAAGATCCCTAAGAGGGTGAGGCTCAGGACATATGCATTGCCTTGGCCAGTTTAGGCAGGGAGCAGCCCAGAGTCCTGGCTTTTGTGACTCTGTAACACAGTGATTCTGTAGGCTCCACAGAGTTAGGCGTGGTGATGCTCAGTGTCGCCACACCTATGTTTCTCCATGAATCTGACCGGTAGGAGCTTTAGTGAAGGCCCCAAAACTGAAACACTGGATAGTGGCCACATAAAGTAAATGTTGGACTTAGTTTTTCTCCTTCTATTTTCCCATCTGTAAAATAGTATGCTGCTTATTGATCTTTAGAAAAGACTTCCAGGCCTAAGGATTAAGAGCCCTATAGAAAGATAAAGCCTCGGCTTGACAAAGTTCTGGCTGGGATGGTTTAGTTGGGATTGGTCCTGCTTTGGGCAGGGGGCTGGACTTGATGACTCCTGAGGTCTCTTCCAACCCTAGGATTCTATGATTCTATAAAGTATTATTATTGCTATTGCTATTATTATTCAATACCAGCTTGAGGACTGAAACAGAAGCTTTCTTTTAAAGGGGCATCATTTAGCAAGTTAAAAATCATCATCTGGTTTGTTTTCACTGACCTTTGCTTCAAGTCACACCAGGGGTCACTATCACTGAAAGAGACTAGGGAGACAAAGTGTGTTCCCTTTGGTGATGTCTACACTACAAGGTTTTTGCGCAAAGACTGGCAGAGCGTCCACACCTCAAGCGCGCTTTTGCGCAAGAAAATCAGCAGAAGAGAAGGCTTTTCGCGGTAGTTATTCCTCTCCCCATGAGGAATAACCCCTTTTTGCACTACAGCTCTTGTGCAAAAAGGCAAGTGTAGACGTTCCGCAGGGGTTTCTTGCACAAAAAGCATAGGTACTCTCATGGCCATTCTGTGAGTGACCATCAGAACTTTCTTGCGCAAGAGGGTCCATGCAGTGTGGATGCTCTCTTGTGCAAAAGCACATGGAATTGTGATGTGCTTTGAGGTCTGGATGCACTTTTGCTCATGAAGTTTTTGCGCAAGAATTCTTCCACAAAAAGCTTCTTGCACAAAAACCCTGCAGTGTAGATGAAGCCTTTGGCTGTGTCTACATTGGCAAGATTTTGTGCAAAATCTTGCCACCTGTCTACACTGGCTGCGAGTACTTGTACAAGAACACTGACGTTCTAATGTAGGAAATCAGTGCTTCTTGCGCAAGAACTATGATGCTCCCGCTCAGGAATAAGCCCTCTTGCACAAGTGTTCTTGCACAAGAGGCCAGTGTAGACAGGCAACATGAATTTCTTGCGCAAGAAAGCCCAATGGCTAAAATGGCCATCGGAGCTTTTTTGTGCAAGAGAGCGTCTACACTGGCACGGATGCTTTTGTGCAAAAGCACATCTCTTGCGCAAAAGCACATGCCAGTGTAGACGCTCTCTTGAGCAAATACTTTAATGCAAAAACTCTTGCGTTAAAAGTATTTGCGCAAAATCTTGCCAATGTAGCCGTAGCCCTCATGTTTTGACAGCCTTTAACATACCTTGGGCTTCTTCGGTCCCTCTCTAAACCCAATCCTTTGCCCCTGTGATCTGTGTGGTTCTTTCACACAGCAGCAGAAGACAGAAAAATGTTTAAAACAATTAAAAAGTGTGATTGTAAAATCACAGAAAGGGCAAGGTGACTAAGGGGCAGTGGGACCATCACAAACCATCACATTTTTTTTTATTGACTAGATATTTAAATGCGCATTGTCTCTTTAAGTGTCAGCCGTGGATGTGCGCTTTGCTCATTTTCACATTCTTTTAATAAAAGAAGTGAAAGGCTATCGCTGCTGATCTCAGCATGATGTCAGGAACTCTGTCAAGTAAGAGTCGACCACTGTCAGGAAGTAACTAAGTAGCACAGATGGATAAGAGTTTGATACTAAGTGGCAGCAGGATCATTGGAAACACCAGGCTGGGTTGGTTTGGCAGGACAGATCAGACCCTAGGTGGGCTCAGAGCTCTGGGGTTGCAGATGAAGCTCTCAACCTTGTCCCAAAGAGGCAGACTGGAGCTCTGTGGACTGAGTAAGCCACCCCCTCACCCCGCCCCACCCCATCCACACTAGCCCCATCCACACTAGAGCTGCTGTAGCTGTGCCTCTGTAGCCAGAGAGACAAGTCCTGAGCTGGGGGGTAGGAATATGGGCAAGGGAGGGAGAGGTGTCCTGCAGAGTGAAAGTTAAATCTGGGGAGAGAAGGGGTCCTGGACAGGGAGGTCCAGGGTGGGATTCGCAGCCAGTGGGGAGGGATTGGGAGGAGGTCTGAGGCAGTGGAAAAAGGTAGCAGTGGGGCAGCCTATTGGGGCTAATTGCACCATAGGAACATTTCCTCTTACCGGGTGCCCCGCAGTCTGCACAATGGGAGTTCCCCGTTCCGGCTGCTGTCAGCAGCTCCAGTAGCACAGGTTTGTTGCAGTCCTGAGCCATTATCCTGCCCCTGGCCGCTCCACTTGGGGAAGGCTGCACAGGGCAATTCCCCAGCCTAGCCCAGAACCAGTCACTTCTGCTGCAGTTCTGAACTAGCCTAGAAATGAGGAAATGGGACTTCTGCTCCAGCCTCTGTGGGAGAGAGGGGGAGGCTTGGTCATCGTCCATCGGGGGACGCCCCTCCCCTCTGCCACCAGTTCAGCACCCTCCCCCTCCTCCCCCCCCCCCCATCACTACTGCAGGGTTTGCTGAGTGTGGACCTGCCAAGGGAGCTCTCCAGCCAGGGCAGGAAAATCCTTGTGTAGATGGAGGAACAATGGTTGCCAGAACCAATTATTGGAGGGGAGGATACTCACCCCCCCCGCCCTGCCTGCTTGCTTTGGCCTGTCCTCCTGGGTACTGAAACTCAAATAATTCCCCCTCCTCTTTTCCCCTTTTCCCCCTTCGCTGGCCAGAGGAGATCTCTGAGGCAGTACTGTGAGCAGCCCTTACAGACCAGAGGGGGGTTGGGAGCTGTGGCTCTCACAGATCAGACCTTAAATGGTTTGGGAGCTTTGGGACTGTCAGACCCTTTGAGTTGGGAGCTTTGGGACGGTCAGGCTTGCAGATCAGACCATAAGGGGGTTAGGAGCCCTGGGGGGCTGTGGCTCTCACAGCTCAGACTCTAGGGTGTTGGGGAGCCCCAAAGCTATGCCTCGTAGAGATGAGGCTCGGGTGGGGGGAGCTGGGAGCTCCGGGGGCTGTTGCCCTTGCAGATCAGACCCCAGGGAGGTTGGGGGCTGTGGGTCACGCACAGAGCCTGGGGGGGTTGGGCGCTGCGGGGCTGTGGGTCACGCACAGAGCCTAGGGGGGTTGGGCGCTGCGGGGCTGTGGGTCACGCACAGAGCCTAGGGGGGTTGGGCGCTGCGGGGCTGTGGGTCACGCACAGAGCCTGGGGGGGTTGGGCGCTGCGGGGCTGTGGGTCACGCACAGAGCCTGGGGGGGTTGGGCGCTGCGGGGCTGTGGGTCACGCACAGAGCCTGGGGGGGTTGGGCGCTGCGGGGCTGTGGGTCACGCACAGAGCCTGGGGGGGTTGGGCGCTGCGGGGCTGTGGGTCACGCACAGAGCCTGGGGGGGTTGGGCGCTGCGGGGCTGTGGGTCACGCACAGAGCCTGGGGGGGTTGGGCGCTGCGGGGCTGTGGGTCACGCACAGAGCCTGGGGGGGTTGGGCGCTGCGGGGCTGTGGGTCACGCACAGAGCCTGGGGGGGTTGGGCGCTGCGGGGCTGTGGGTCACGCACAGAGCCTGGGGGGGTTGGGCGCTGCGGGGCTGTGGGTCACGCACAGAGCCTGGGGGGGTTGGGCGCTGCGGGGCTGTGGGTCACGCACAGAGCCTGGGGGGGTTGGGCGCTGCGGGGCTGTGGGTCACGCACAGAGCCTGGGGGGGTTGGGCGCTGCGGGGCTGTGGGTCACGCACAGAGCCTGGGGGGGTTGGGCGCTGCGGGGCTGTGGGTCACGCACAGAGCCTGGGGGGGTTGGGCGCTGCGGGGCTGTGGGTCACGCACAGAGCCTGGGGGGGTTGGGCGCTGCGGGGCTGTGGGTCACGCACAGAGCCTGGGGGGGTTGGGCGCTGCGGGGCTGTGGGTCACGCACAGAGCCTGGGGGGGTTGGGCGCTGCGGGGCTGTGGGTCACGCACAGAGCCTGGGGGGGTTGGGCGCTGCGGGGCTGTGGGTCACGCACAGAGCCTGGGGGGGTTGGGCGCTGCGGGGCTGTGGGTCACGCACAGAGCCTGGGGGGGTTGGGCGCTGCGGGGCTGTGGGTCACGCACAGAGCCTGGGGGGGTTGGGCGCTGCGGGGCTGTGGGTCACGCACAGAGCCTGGGGGGGTTGGGCGCTGCGGGGCTGTGGGTCACGCACAGAGCCTGGGGGGGTTGGGCGCTGCGGGGCTGTGGGTCACGCACAGAGCCTGGGGGGGTTGGGCGCTGCGGGGCTGTGGGTCACGCACAGAGCCTGGGGGGGTTGGGCGCTGCGGGGCTGTGGGTCACGCACAGAGCCTGGGGGGGTTGGGCGCTGCGGGGCTGTGGGTCACGCACAGAGCCTGGGGGGGTTGGGCGCTGCGGGGCTGTGGGTCACGCACAGAGCCTGGGGGGGTTGGGCGCTGCGGGGCTGTGGGTCACGCACAGAGCCTGGGGGGGTTGGGCGCTGCGGGGCTGTGGGTCACGCACAGAGCCTGGGGGGGTTGGGCGCTGCGGGGCTGTGGGTCACGCACAGAGCCTGGGGGGGTTGGGCGCTGCGGGGCTGTGGGTCACGCACAGAGCCTGGGGGGGTTGGGCGCTGCGGGGCTGTGGGTCACGCACAGAGCCTGGGGGGGTTGGGCGCTGCGGGGCTGTGGGTCACGCACAGAGCCTGGGGGGGTTGGGCGCTGCGGGGCTGTGGGTCACGCACAGAGCCTGGGGGGGTTGGGCGCTGCGGGGCTGTGGGTCACGCACAGAGCCTGGGGGGGTTGGGCGCTGCGGGGCTGTGGGTCACGCACAGAGCCTGGGGGGGTTGGGCGCTGGCGGCAGAAAAGGAACTGAAGGGACGGTTGCAGTGCATGCATGGTAGAGGCACCCAAGACCCTAAAGTGGAGCACCCACAGGGACACTCCTCAAAGAAGTGGAAAGTTCCTTTCACCTTCCAGCTTCTATGACAAATTGCTAATTAGTGTAGTGCTGTGCAGTCTCTTTCACAATTATTCTACACCTCAGCTTTGACTCGGCTCATCTAGTCTCTTGAATGAGAAGACAAAATTCAGCAATGTGATCAATCTACTTTTTATTATAGGGGCTGTTCACTTACTATTTGTTTAAAAGCCAATCATTTTCATTCTTTTTTAAAATACTAATGGAAGAAGAATTTTTCATGTCATATCAAACTTGAGTTGGCTGGTTTAACATATCATAGGATACCTTAACATATGTTAACCCTGCTTTACACATGGCAAGCAAAAAGACCACACAGCGTCATATTTAATGTGTATCAAACAGCCATAGATTAATATGACTGGTTGTGCCGGCCCCCATTCACTCTAGGCTGTATTTAGTGTATGCACAACATACTTCAGGTGGCAAATTACTAGGATTCATCACTAAATTTGGATTGGTTTGATCATTAGCTCCCCTGGGCCTAAGGGTGGGTACTGACAGGGAACACAACATGAAGGTGGATCCATGCCCCTCTTAGGAGGTACTGAATTCCTTGTTTTTCATGTTTCTATGCAAGAGCCAATATTCCTTTCTGATACTCTGTTTTTGGCCACCATTTTCAATGCTACACTCCTTATGTCTTCACCACAAACATCTGGTGATTTTCCTTCATTTTACATACCAAGAGAAAAGAGAATCATGTTCAAACTACAGATTGCATAGTGGTTGTGTTGATCAAACCTTAGTTTCTTCTTCTTTTCTCATCCATACTTTTGTATATCTATTCTTTATTGTACACATCATCCATTTGACCAGCACTGACTTCTGTCTAGCAGGGCTAAATCTGATTGCTCTCCCCATACCACTGTCCCTCTACAAAACTGTAACTGAATACTGTGAAAGTGATTTTAGTCCAATAAATAAAATGTTATTATAAATTCAAATGGGGAACAAGTACCAGGACAAATGAAAGAAAGATTCGTCTGTAAACTCTCTAGGATACTGTCTTCTTACAGTGGTATATACTAGCATATTTTGGATATCAATACAAATAATAAATCCAAAATCCTACATAATAATCCTCCTCATCACTATCATCATCATTCAGGTTTGGAAAATATAAACATAAGAGAAGGGATTTTAAAAGAGAAATGTTTTCTGTTTTCTAGCCAACTCAATGTTTTCTATTAACAGTTCCTTAAGTTCATAAAACCCACACATCTTCTGATACTGTGACTTCAAACAGTTATTATAAGTTACACTTCAGATGCTGTGTTTGGTTTCCAATTCTGGGTTCATTGTTTGATAGGCCATGAAAAGAGTGGATTTCACCCTGCATTGCTGGATATAGGCACATCCTGCTAACTCAAGACAGGTTATTGTGACAGCAGATTTGTTTCCCCTGCAGATCTGGCTACAGAGTGATGATATTAAGTAGTCCCTACTTAAAACACTGAGTACTGAGGAAAACAAGAGAAGTAAAACAGAAAAAAAAATCCCATCCCTAGAGTTTGGAAGTGCCAAAGAGACCTAGACCAATTCTTCTTTTAGGAATTTGTGATTTGATTTTTATTTATCCAAATGTCTGGGTACAGATTTACTCAGCATTCGTTAGGGTTTTGTTTTCTTTTACATAAGTGCAGTAGGTCTCATGATAAATGTCTAGAATAGTTGTCAAATTCCAGCACATCTTCTGTAAAAACTGGTGTACTCCCTGCTGAAATACTAGTTTGTCATTTCTGCCAACAATATTACTTAATGAATCACCATCACTATCCCTATACTGTATATCCTCTGACAACCGTACTAGGGAAGTGGCTGTCAATGTTTCCATAAGGTGACTTCATTTTCCATACTGAGATTCTCCTCCCACCTAACTGGGGTCCTGCTCCCATTTAGTGCCCTAAACCCTGTTCATGAGTCCCACACTAACGAAATCTGTGTTGAAGGGATTACTTTCCCTTCTCTTTCTCCAGAAGGAAAGAAAACCAGCCACACATATGCACACAAAGAGCTAAGTCACAAGCAATTAGTGCAGATTGAGTGTCAATCTTCTGCAAACCAACTTTCATTCTGTTGCAAAAGTTATCTAAAGAAGTTTCCTTATGCTTATATTCAAAGTGACAAAACACTTCCATTTTCTAAATAAAAAGTGAACCATGCAATTTAAACAGTTTACTGAATCAAAGCACAACAATGGAGGTGCAGACTCCTCCTGTGTTTTGAAAGCATCAGAATGAAGATGTTCAATAGGCTATGGAAAAAGTCTCAATGTTCATTCTAGACCATGGGTTCCCAAACTGGGGCGAAGGAAGGGGGCTGAAGAAATTCCAGGGGGGGGTGCGAGGCAGCCCAGCCTCCCCCCATCAAGTTTTGCTGCCCTGCTCAGTTCCTTTTTTTTTTTTTGCTCAACAAGTTTTGCTATTTTTGGGGGGAGGGTTTTTCAAAAATCAAAAAGGGGGGGGGTCGTGATGCCAAAAAGTTTGGGAACCACTGGACTAGAGTGTGGTCTCTGGGGTGGGGCTCTGAGGAGAGCTTTGGGGGGGGGGCTCAACAAGGCTGGGTCAGGAGGGGCTTACCTTGAGCAGCTCCTGGTCCGTGGTGCAGTGGGGGTGCTGTTCACCAAAACCAGCCAGTAGCAGGTTCCCAGCCAATGGGAGTGTGGAGCTAGAGTTTGGGGTTGGGGCAGTGTGCAGAGCCCTTTCCCCCTAGGAATGAATCCTGTTGTCAGCTGTGTCTGTGGTGCCAGGCCAGGCAGGTAGCTGCCTTAGCACTCAGCTGGTTTCTTGATCTCCATGCAGCAATGAGACCCAGTGCCTGATATTCCATGACCCAGTACTAGGTCACAACCTGCAGTTTGAAAACCACTGGCATAGAGGAGGCCTCGGTGAATGGTGGGAAATTTGCCCTTCAAGGCACTGACCTGCTGCTGCTGCTCTACAATCCTGTGGATCAAAGTGGTCCATTTACTTGTAAAATAGGTAGTGGCAATACAACCCCATTTCTTTGCCAACAGGCTTCAAGCCAACCTTGCTTCAGAGGAGCAGCCTTTGTGGCTGAGAGGGTAATTGAGTCTTCGTGCTCCTTTGCCTCTGCTGAAGCTACCATCTGGGGAACAGCTAGTAGCCGTTGTGAATGTGAAAGTGGCACCTACCTTGTGAAACAGGGGTTCTCAAACTTTGTGGCCCATGGCCCACTTCGCTTAACACAGATCTTTATGCAGACCACCAGCCAACCACCCATGATAATAAAATGGGTGCAGGAGAGGTGCGGGTGCAGGGTCTGAATGGGAGGTAGGGTGCAAAAGTGGGCTGGGCGGAGGGTCTGTGTGGGCAGAAGGGTGCAGGAGCAGACTGAGGGTGTGGGGGTTTCAGAGGGAGGGGATGCATGACGGGGGATGGGAGTGCAAGGTCTGAGCCTGAGGAAAATGGGGGGCACTTAACCTGGCTCCGTGCCTCCTGCTGCTCCCAAGCACTGCTCCCATTAGCTGTGATTCTGGCCAATGGGCTTAGCGGGGAAAGCCTCCAGATGAGCAGTTTCCTGTGCTATTGTTCCCCCAGGCAGGGGAAGGAGAAACAGCAGTGTGTGGATCTGGACCATGAGGCTTATGTGCACCTCCCCCTCCCACAGCAGGAAACTAGTCCTGGCATTGTAACTTTGGGGGGGAGGGGGTGGGTATGGGGCATGAACACCAGCACAGGCTCCCCGCTGCAAGAGAGGGGGAAGCCCTGGGCCTACACAGCCCACCTGCAAGATTGTCCACAGACCACACTTTGAGAACCACTGCCCTAAGAAACAGATTGAAGCAGTCAACTCATTTCACAGGTTGGGATTGGGTCACTACTTACCAGGGCTAGATTTAAGTATGTATCGTAGAACACTTGCTCATTAATGGGTGAGAACCTATTTTAATTAAACCCACCCAAATAGAAGAAGTTTAAAATGATGGGTGACCTCTTTTCTCTAACTCATTTTTCTATAACCTGCTTGAAATTTTACATTTCTGCTACTAATTTTAATTAAAGGGAATTCAGAGGCTGGCAAACTTCTCTATATTGGCACAGAAGTGAATTTATGAAATGGGTGCCTTGCAAAGTGGTATGGTTGTATCTGCTCAGTAAGTTAATACATTATTTTAACTCATTTTTCTTCAGGAAAGTATTTCTTTCATGTCCGGTTGGTGTCATATCAGCTTCAGTCCCTGCACCATTCCTCATGTCAGAAAAAATCAATATCTTCTGTACAACACAACTGCATCAATTCCCCAACAGCGATTCAAAACCTCAAGACACCAGAAGATGAACTTTATAATTTGTACTCCCCTGAACAACAATCTGCCATCCTGCAAGTGCTCAACACAGCATCTGAGAGAGAACTTTCAGCCATTAAACTGTTGAGAGGAAAAAAGTCTGGCAATGTAATTCAGCATAGGGAAAAAAATGGACCATTTCGGAACTTGCAGAGTTTACTGGCAGTGCCCCTCTTTCAGTATAAAACTGTTGTTAAAGTGTGTAACTTTATCCTCGATCCATCTGAGAAAGGAGATAGAAGAGAGAGAAAAATACAAGACACCAGATCTTCAGTGAGGTTTATTAAACCTGAAATAGAGAGAGAGAGGTTGGAGGTATATAACATTTTTAATTTGATTTTAACAAGAAACTCTTATTTTCAGAATAAACTTCTGTTATTCCCATAAATCAATAATTTTAATAATTTTGAGTATATACATTATTTTTAAGAAGCAGTATTTTACCCTAAGACATCAAATAATTTGTGTGTTACATCTTCAAAATGCAGAATAATATTTTTTTTCCCCCTTTTCAGACTTTAGGTAGCATTGTGTCTGTTGTTTTTGGCACCCGTAAAATTGCATGGGCTCATGTTGATCGAAACCTAACAGTTTGTGACTGGCAACAAGAAGAGTGTGTTAGATTCATGAAAGGAGCCTATAATCCGGCAGTGTATCTGGAAGAAGTAAGTAGTGTGTGCTTGAGACTTTAATAAACTTTAACTCCTGGGCTTTGGTGTACCACTGCCAGAATCCTTTAAATTTTCATCCAGACCTGGTCCTTGCCTCTTTGTTAGTCTTAAATTGCTTATTCTTTTGACTGTCATGGTACAGTGTGTACAATTTGACTTAATTTTCCAAGGAAGGGCTTTCTTTTTAGCAGTACTTCTAAACTGCTTTTTGCTAGTTTGAGCGGGATCTAGATGTTCTTCAGAGTGGAAAAGGGAATTCTATAACATGTGTAAAGTAGAACTATAACTACTGCAATCAACCTTTGATAAAGAATGTAGCAGGTTAGTAGTCCCAAAATTTATCCTGCCGTCAATGGTTGCAGGACTTAAGTGGCAGACAGAAGTGGGAAAGCTGGCTTCTTTCCAAAAGTTTTTTGGGATCTCTGCTAGTACAAGGTTTTGGAGAAGAGATGCGCCCACTCCCCTCACACTGCAGTTAGACATCAGTGGCTGGCCTATGCCAGTTGACTTGGGTTCGCATGACTGAGGCTGTGGGGCTGTTTAACTGAGGTATAGATGTTCTGGCTCACGCTGGAGCCCTAACTCTGGGAGCCTCCCACATAGGTGACTTTTGAAGGAGGGGCCACTTTAGTAATTTTGGAAGTGGTTGCTGGCCACCCCAGAAGGAGTGGGGCCAGGAGACTTCAAGTACCCTTCTGCCCATAGACCCTGATTAGCCTGGGGGTGGGGAGCATCTGAAGTCTTTGTCTCCCGCCCATACCCTGCCAGGGGCACCCGGCACCTAAAGAGAACTGCCAACTGTTTTGAACAGGTGGTGGTTCCCTCTAGGCACTGCGTACCCCTGGTGGCATGAGACTTTACACACACATACCCTCCCTGCCCCCAGGCCAGTTGGGAGCCTGGGGGTGGTGGAGCATGTTAAACCTTTGCACCCTCCCACCAAGAAAGAAAGACACTGATGGGAGTGGGGGAGGACTTTAGGGAAATATTCTCTCTTTCTCTTCTCCCAGACAGAGTCACTCTGGGAACCCATGGGCAGGTGGGAGGCCTACTTCAGCTGCCACAACCAGGTGTGGGTTTTCAGTTACAGAGAAGATACACCCTTAGGCTACGTCTAGACTGGCATGATTTTGCAGAAAGACTATTAACGGAAAAGTTTTTCCGTTAAAAGTATTTCCACAAAAGAGCGTCTATACTGGCAAGGATGCTTTTGTGCAAAAGCATCCGTGCCAATCTAGACGCACTTTTGTGCAAGAAAGCTCCGATAGCCATTTTAGCCATCAGGCTTTCTTGTACAAAAAATTAAGGTGCCTGTCTACACTGGCCCTCTTGCGCAAGTATTCTTGTGCAAGAGGGCTTATCCCTGAGCGGGAAAGTATTTGCACAAGAAGCACTGATTTTGTACATCAAAGTCAGTGTTCTTGCGCAAATTCAAGTGGCCAGTGTAGACAGCTGGCAAGTTTTTGCGCAAGCGCAAAATCTTGCCAGTCTAGATGCACCCTTAGGCTGTGTTTACATTGCATGGTTCTTGTGCAAAAACTTGCCAGCTGTCTACACTGCATGCGTGTTCTTGCACAAGTAAATTTACAGTATAGTGTCAGAAAACAGGGCTTCTTCTGGAGGAGTTATTCCTCTCCCCAGGAGGAATAAGCCTTCTTGCACAAGAGCTCTTCCACAAGAGGGCAGTGTAAACAGGCAACATGAATTTCTTGGGCAGGAAGCCCCTATGGTTAAAATGGCCATTGGAGCTTTCTTGTGGAAGAGAGCGTCCACACTGCCGTGGATGCTCTTGCGCAAAAGCACATGGCAGTGTGGCTGTGCTCTTGTGGAAGATTTTTTGCACAAGAACTCTTCCGCAAAACAGTTCTTGCGCAAAAAGCCTGCAGTGTAGATGTAGTCTTAAAGTACTAAGGCTGAGCAGCTTATAATGGTATTTATACTGACATCTTCCTAGTACAATGTGTGTACATGCACCAAAGAACTAGTTGAGAGTTAACTGCTTTTTCTCCCCATATTCACCATGACTGCAGTATCTTTAAACTGACTCAAACAAATGCTCTTCAGAGCAGTACAGGAATAGAGCTTGTAAAAATGTGCAGCTTGGACATCTCATTAACATTCCCACAGACTGGATAAAGTTTTCCTGAAGACTATATAATCTGGTCAAAAGTGAAATGTAGCTTTTTATAATAGCCACCTAATAGAAACCACCTTCAGATTTGAGACAGTAGCTATGAAATCTGTAGCTTTAATTTTTGGCTTAAATGCATTCTTAGTGTTAACATTCATGCTTATTTATTTCCCCCTCCTAGATTTCTTCAGTTGTGTCTAAGATTCCTGAAGCTGATCTTTATATTTTGGAAAAAAACGGACTTCCTGTTCAGAATACGAATCTCTTTCCTATAATATTACATCTTCGTACTGTGGAAGCCATGCTGTATGTCCTATTACAAAAGGCATTTATACAAGATGGCCAGCACAAAGTAGTAAGTATGGCCCGAAGCACTGTAGGAAAACACTTTGGATTAATTGTAGGAGACTCTCGAACTAGTGGAATGGATCTTGTGAAGCAGTTTCTCTTGCAATCCATTACCCAAGAACAGCCACGATTGTCCTTTCCCAGGAACAAGGTGGTACGTTATAGAAACCTATTTTCTTCAGTTACTCAAAACAGAGATGAGGAAATGTGTGATTCAGTACTACAGGCTCTTGCCTTCTATGAACTTCTAATATTAAATAACACTACTTAAGCCTTTTTTACTATTTGAGCAGAACCACAATAAACTTCAATCTGTTTTAATCGAGTATTGGCTATTGATTCATTAAATATTGGGCTGACGAGCAGAAGCCAAGTTTACATGCGCTGTTCACTGCTATCAAGGCATCTCAAACTGATTTTTTTTGGCAAAGTATCTTAAGACATGTCACATGATGCTATATCAGCAGCCTTGGCATCTCAGCCTCGAAATGGACAGTTGCTGATTCTCATGGCTCTTCTACACATTTCCTGTTTCTGTCCCTTCTGTCCCCCCCCACCCGAGAACCCAAATGCAGAACTCCCCCCAGCTCAGATACTCATTTTTCCCCGGATACCTGTTCCCCTCCTCCACAGAGCCCAGGGATTCAGAGAAAGCGCCTGATGCTTAGTCCCATGCTTGCACAGTTTTCTACATAATACCCTCTTCTTCCCTCCTGGCATCCTATAAACTGCAGCTACCAGGAATCCTCAAGCTTCCTCTCCAGCCATGCCTTCTCCTCTGTGCAAGAAAAACAAAGAATGAATAGTCTAATAGTACTTTAAGACTAAAAACAGATGTTATCACAAGCTTTTGTGGGCACAACCCACTTCTTCAGATGACATGAAAGCTCACGTTTTGTTAGTCTTTAAGGTGCTACTAGATTATTCGTTAAGTTTTTCCTGTTACAGATTAATTTGGCGACCCCTTGGAAGCTTACTCTATGCAATTTAGTAATAGAGATGTAACTGTTAGTCTAGTCTAGCTGAAACAAAAAACAGGACGGTGTAGCACTTTAAAGACTAACAAGATGGTTTAATAGATGATGAGCTTTCGTGGGCCAGACCCACTTCCTCAGATCAAAAAAGCGGTATGCAGGTAATCAAGTCATTGAGACAATGCCCTTTCTGGTTGAAATGGCAAGAAACTTTTTTCTTTGTGATACTGTCTGATATCCGTTATGTGCATTGATTCTTTGGCGAAGCGTCTGAGACGTTGTCCAATGTACATACCAGATGGACACTGTCAGCACATGACAAATTACATTTCTGGATGAGCAAGGAATATGTGTTCTTGATCTTATAACTGAATTGGTTAGGTCCAATAATGGTGTCAGCAGAGTAAATATGTGGACAAAGCTGGCAATGGGGTTTGTTGCAAGGAAAAGTTCCAGGGTTGGTATTAGTGTGGTATGTCCTGTGGTTGTTGGTAAGAATCGTCCTGAGATTAGGTGGTTGTCTGTAGGAGACTATGGTCTGTCTCCCAGAGCCTCAGAGTATAGTATCCTGTTCTAGTATAGGTTGTAGTTTATTGATAATTTGTGGGATGGGTTTAAGTTGGGGGCTATAGGAGATGACAAGTGGTGTTCTATTGTTGGTTTTCTTGGTTTACCAACCCTGGCCCACGAAAGCTCATCACCTAATAAACCATCTTGTAAGTCTTTAAAGTGCTACATAGTCCTGTTTTTTGTCTATGCAATTTGGGCTTCTCTGAGTCTGTGGCCTCTAGTGGTGGCTAGTAGCACTGCAGCCTATTACTGTGCAGGGGAGTAGGAAATTCTGCATTCACAACTTTTTTGCAAAATTCTGCATTGTACAGTGACAATTACCATCAACAGTATGTGTGTGTATGGAGTGGAGGCAGAACTTCTTGTAGGAGGGAGTATATTTTGGCAGAAAAGAATTCTGCACTGGACATGAACTCCACACACATGCAGAATTCCTTCAGGAGTACTAAATGAGGGAGAGTGTCTGAGCTGTAACACCAGACAGTAAGTCTAGGCCACGGGGATATCTGTTCCCCTTTCCCAAGGGGGAAGCCAGGGACAATTCCCCCTCCCCCATATCTAGGTAAAGGAAGCACCTGAAAAGATTGAATATTTTGGCAGATTGAAGTTTCATAACTTTCTGGCTTCATGTGTGTTACCAAAAACAAGCACACTTTTTAAACCTAAAAACATTAACCTGAAATAATAGGACTTGTATGGTATTAAAGCCTTTAAATAGGTCTTAACTATATAAAATAACTGTATACAGTAGATACTGAAGATAGGTACATATTTACAAACTGGGTATATTTTATTCTTTACAAAGCTGTACAGAATCAATTGATAAATCTAGTGCATTTAGATCATTGATACAACTCGTTAAGATCTGTTTAGCTACCATTCAATAAATATACACTACATTCTGTTGCTTGAAATCCTGCACTAATGAAGACTAAGCCACATACAGTAATCTCAAGCTAACAATTTGCTTTATCATAAGCATGTTCTGGAGTAAACTATAATGAAAGGAAGCCAGGAAAATATAGGGTGAGAAAGCAGCTATAGGAAATAGTGCACTAAACCAATTGGTCTCCTCAAAAGTTATAGGAATGTCTAATGATGTGCACTTCTGTGTCTCTATACTAAACCTTACATATTAGTCTTTAGAGCAACAGTCCAAACGTGATATTGGCTGTGAAAAGCTTATATTTAAATAAATGTGTCATTTAGAAAAAAGAAAAAACTTTCAGGTGATTAAAAAGGCAGAGGGTTTAGATCATCAAATTTTAAATCTTACCTTTCATACTGTCAGAACATTAAGAGTTGTACCAAGATCTCACTCAAATTTATTTCCTTTCATATATAAAACAGATTTTAACCTCAGATATCTGGACTGAAGTCTTTCAAATATAAAATACAATATAAAAAAATAGAACACAATATACAAGATTACCACAAATTATATGTTACTAAATTCAGAAGTAATACAGATATAGAAGTATTATTTACAAAATCTGGCTGAATCTGTTTGGGCCCATTTAGGAGTACAGTAAACATTTTCTTCCCATTTAAGATAAACACACTGGCCTAGCAAATGTAATGAGAATACATGGAATAAATGAAAACTTATAGAGATATGCATATTATGATGCATAGTACTTTAATTTTCAATTTTAAGTATTTTTACTTCAATTTTTTCCTAATTTTTTATTGTGATTACTTAGAGGCTTCCTGTTTTTACCAAAGTTTTGCATGAGGCAGGTTATTTGACAACTTTTGAAGAATCAGGTTGAAACTACTGCTTAGAGCAATGAAGCAGTCTTCTCCTGGAAAAATACTTACTTCGAACACCAATTGTGGCACTAGTTCATTACTCAAGCACCTTTTGCTATCGAATATATGAATTAATTCTCCTTAGTTGAAAGTGCAATGTTAAGGCCGCAATCAGAGAAAAGAATTATAAAGTCCTGAGAGGTACCACAGAATAAATGCTTTTGAACACACAGGGAGTATATATATATAAGCACCAGAAGAACCCACATTTGGATTGTGGAAATCAATACTATCACAGCAGAAATATACAGTTTGCATTTTTAAATACTCAAAGCTGTATTTTAAATACAAATAGCTCTTTGAACATACAGTAAAAACTAAATGGTCTGGTAAAATCAAAATACCATGTAGACCAATCTGTACAAGACACTACTGGTATAAAATCTTTTAAGGGAAATCAGCTGCCAGACTGTAAACAGTTTCTTTGGGTATTTCAAGATGAATTCCTTCAAGATAATGCAGGAACCTGTAACAAAAAAATCAGAGTGAACAGGACTGATAGTTTTCCAAAAATTAGGCAATGATTCTGAATCCAGGACATTTAAGAGGAAAAAAAAACTTTCATGATAAATGTTTCTAAAGTTTACTAAACACTATCACATGCTGAAATGTAGCGGAGATTAGGGTAAACTAAACCTACCTTCTTTTAGTCTTCCCTTGTTCTTTACGTTTCTCTGATCTACAAATATTGCGGAGAGCAGGCAGGTATTCAGTTACACTAGCTTGCCTGTTAACCAGGCTTAAAGGACTTCTAGTGGAAAATACAGTTTTGATGATTTCCAGCCTCTTCTGTCCTTTTCTGTGAATGCTGAAAAGAAGGATAATGAACCCTTATTGTTTCTTGTTCAAGAATACAGATAGCTCTTTGAGGATCAAAACCACCAATTTAAAACTCTACAGAAGGTGTAACTATCCAAAAATGCTCCAAACTAAGACTATTATACACTAGTAAATCATCTTATGACTCCAGGAATCTTAGGACCAAAGTCTCACTTCTGTGTAGTCCCCTCAAAATATCCAGAGCCAGAGGAGGGACCACAGGACAGAAGCTGCCTACGCTGCAGATTCTCCTAGTTCATCTGTGAAAAGCAATTTTGAGGAAGGTCTTTCTAGGTGTGGTCCTTGTTTATATATTTAGCACACACGTACGTACACATGGTGCACTCCAGAACATCTGTTCTTGGCCCTTTGTTGGGATAGCTAGAATACAGGCTTCATGTTCTATCACACTAACTTTTTCATGTTGCAATATGTGCCCATTTTAGGACTTAGTATCAAAATGACTCCATCTAAATCAGTGTTTGGCAATTTAGGCTAGTGAGTGGGCCACATGTGTGGCCCTCCAGATTGTTGTTTCCAAGACAGTCTCCCAGGATAGGGTAGTTTTGCTAACTATGCTTGCACACCCAGAATTTCTGGGGTGTGCGGACATAACCATAGCAGTGCTTTGACTGGATGCAGAGGGAACACACAGCTCTCACAGTCAATGTTGGGTGCAATCTGCATGCACCTCATCTCATTGCCCTTCATGTATGTGTTAGGAAAAGAACTATCGGTATTACTATGCGGACAGCAACCATTGGAATCTGGCAACCCTGTAGGCAAGCTGTAAATCGCCCACCACTGCTCTAAATAGGTGTTGTAAAAATGTGTTGACATTTGTGCTCAATGTTACAGTGACTTGTTTTAAAATAAAAGAAGCTAGAAGATTTATTTCTCCGTTTATCTATTTTGCAGTAATTAGTTAAGTATTCTTTGTCATGTGACAGAAAAGTTGGTATAATAGGTATTTACTCTTCTACATTAAAAATCAAAATCTTTGCTTTAATACTTGCTAAAATTAACAAAAACAATGTACTCTAACACCATATTCAAGATTTTTTTTCTCTTGATTTTAAAGACTTACTACAAAATATCCTCATTTGACCTACTTTTAACGTTTTCAGGCCCCAATTCTGCAAAAGCAATGCATGCAATTTGGACTCACAATGACACTATACAGATTAGTAAAATTATTCACATGCATATGAGCTTGCAGAATTAAGCCTATAGGCAACATCAGTTTGCCTACTACACTTAATTCTCTAAAATGTGTGGCTTTTTCCAGACAAATACTCTATTTCTGTAACAGACCAGAATAGTGCTACTACTCATAAGCAAGCTTACTATAACTGGTTAATTAAAAAACAATGGAGAACTTAACTTTAAAAAAAGTAATTACTGTTTGACAAAATGTTCTTTAAAATGAGAAATATCTAGCCAGGATCCTTTCTGAAGTGTATAAAAATTAACAATAGACCATACTATATCGTTTGTTTTTAAGCACAAGTACACATCCAAGAAACAATACAAATATTAGTGGGATGAGGGTTGGAGAAACCTTCTCTTCCCCTCTTGATATTTGTTCTGGCATTGTGAGGTTTTAGTCTTACCTTAAATCAGCCGATTGACTAAAATATACATCATTTCTGTCTTTTGAAACATGCAGAGTAATTTCCTCAGTTTGATCTCTTCTTAGTGTTTTACAGGAGTTCAAGGAGGTTTCCATGCTTTGTGAAATACCAGCAGAGCACTTACTAAAACTGAGTGCTTCTATAGCTGCCCTTAGTTCACTACAGCTTTGATAACTCCACCAATCAAAGTCTTCTGTACTAAAATCATCAGAAAGACCATTTTTAATTTTGCTATTTGTCCAATTAAACCCTTCATTTTTACAAAACGCTTTGTGTGTCATTACATTAGTGTTTAAGAAAGACATGTTTTCCACAAATTCAGTTACTGCATTTAAACAATAAGAAGCAAGAGCAGAGCTTTTTTTCCTTGCTGATATTTCAGTGTTCAATTGTTTATCTTTTTCATTCATCATAACTTTTAATCCATCTTTGTTTTCTTCCAAGCATGATTCAGGAATGTCTGATGGCAAAGTTATAAATCCAGCCGAATAGTTCAATTCAGTATCAAATAAATCACTATCATCCAATAAAGCAATCTTTTTCTGGTGCTTCATCCTTTTAGGCTTTTTGACAGCGATAGCTTTTTCAGAGAAATTACTATCAAGAGGTACGTCATTTGAAGAATTTACTGTAGTCCTTTTAAATGAAGGATTAGAATTCTGTGTTGGCTCTGGAAGAATACAAACTGGTAAAGGCAGAAGAAGTTCAAGGTTACTATGTATAAAATCCACTTTCTTCATCTGGAATTCTGTGAGCATCTGTATCAGTTTACGCCATTCTTCTGTTGTTGTGATTTTATGCTGTAAAAACAATGTAAACATAATAAATGTATTTATTACCATAATTGTTTTAATAAATAAAATATGAACCACACCACGTTATTACACAAAGTTGCCTATTCACATACACCTCAGTACTCATCATCCAAGGCATTGTATATTATGGGGTTTAATGAGAATTTTCCAATGTGGGGTTTTACTTAGTCACCGACACTTTAAAAATATTGTGGCTAAACATTTCTGTAAGATAATTTTCTGTAGCATTTATAGCAAACAGAATTATCAGAACAGAAATGGAGTCCTACTCATTATATGTCAGAGAGATTGCAGAAGTCACTTTCTGGGCCCTCTGATTTCTTCAGGGGCCAGTCTGGCTGACCCCAAGGCCTCCCAAGCAGGTGGCTCTTGGACCAGCTGCTCAAATGGCCTTGGACAGTCACATAAGCCCCTGCTCTGGCGGCTCCTGGCCACAGTCCCCAGCTCACTGGCCAAAGCAGCTTTGGTCCCTAGTCCCCTCCCATCCACTGCCTAAGAGATTTAATTAAAGGTATTTTTAGTTAAAGTCATGGACAGGTCACAGGCAATAAACAAAAATTCACAGCCAGTGACCTATTCATGACTTAGATTTAGTTACAGGTATTTTTAGTATATTACCTGTGACCTGTCCATGACTTTTACTAAATACTCCTGACTAAATCGTAGCCTTAATGAGCTATAGCAAACTCACATATATTTCAGATAAGACTCATTCAAAATATTAGCAACCAGGCCTAATCATGAAGATACCTTAAGAAATGAAAGCAAATCTTCTGAAGGTAAAAAAATGTTCTTAAGGCCAAGCAAAGTCTCAGTAAAGCCAGTATCACATTTTGGAAGCTCCATCTCAGTTTGAGGAAGATCATTCTCAGAAGCAATGTTTTCAGTGCAAGTTATCTGATCTGTTCCTTCTCGTTCCTCTCCTCCTATTACAAAAAAAACCAACACCATCACCACAGATTTAGGTTTAAGTTTTAAACACAAATTGTGCATGAAAATTTAATCCTTAAATTATCCTTTTGTGGTCTCCATTCTTTTGCACACTAAAAATAAATCCTATACTTCATCTTGACTTCTTACTGTAATTTTGAATAGCAGTGCTTCTCCAGTTACCAGTGTTCCCTCACCCACGTTTATTCACTCTTCCAAATCTTTCCCTTCCCTTCTTCCTCCTTTGCTATCTCTCCATTGTAAGCAATCAGCTCAATCTCTGCTTCCTCCCAGTATGTTATTTTAGCCCTACCTTCCCAGACCACATCCCTAATCCCCTCTTAAATTTCCTTCTCTCTTCCTCCAGTTCTGCTTTCAACCTCCAAGAGCCCAAACAGCTCTCTTGTGCGGAGTTAACTGCAGATTGAGATACCTATGATCAGGGCTCCCTAACTCCTTATGGCAGGGGTGGACAATAATTTTTGAATGGGGGGGTGGGGCCATGGAGTCTGGGATCTGGGGCCAGAAGACCGGTACAGCAGTGGGGCAGGCGGCTGCTGCAGCTGGAAAAGCCGCATGGTGGAGGGCAGGAAGAGAGAGCGCGCTCGCCTTCAACAACCACTTCCTCTGACTGCACGGTCGATTTTGCCCTATGATTTTGCGGCACCGCAGCTAACAGACCACAGCCCGGCAGTTGAGAACTACTGATATAACAAATTCAGATTCCTTCTACGATGAAGAATCTTTGTTTTTATGAAAAAGTCCTTAAAATACCACTAAATAGAAGATTAGGACTTTGTCAGAAAATCATCAACAATTTTACTTTAGGTTCTTTTCTCACAGTATATTTACAAAGGGCTGTTCGGTGAGGTTAAAGGGCACGGGGTATAGAGGTCGAGGTCAAAGCGTTTAAGGCACTGGGGAGCAAAGGGCTGGGTTGGGGCCAAACAGACAGTTAACATTGTATTTGCATATTTGTTATTTATATAATGAACATGCAAATATACAAATACAGTGTTGCCGGTCTACCGAACACTTGTGAATGGGTTTGCTGGTCCCCCATGTAAAAAAGGTTGCAAACCACTGTGTTACATGTCTGTTCTTTAAAATTAGATTAACTTACCATGAAGTGCTAAACGTTTTTCTTTCAAGCATCCACCTCCACTTCTAGCCCAAAATTGTAGGTAAAGAACACTTTGTCTGATATCACAGTTGTTTATGGTTAACAAAGTGGCAAAGTCTTTTAAATCCATTCGTAGATTCTCAGCCAAGCAGAGCACTTGTAAATAGCTTGCAACATTTACCTAAAATAAAACACATGAGAAGAACCCATTGAAAGACAATACAATTATCTATTCAGACTAAGGCAAGTCACCCTAGAAGCAAATTAGTTTTGCATACTGTAATATGCCATGAAATGAGAATGTTCTCATTAGCAAAGAGGGCTAAAAATGGAAGAATGGAGATTCCCAAACCCAACTCTAATTCCTACTATTTGCGCACAGAAGACATCACCATTCCTTCTCTGACCCAGATATAGTCAGATCTGAAGCAGAGAGGAGAAGGGTGGATGGTGGAGCACCCTCGGGGACAACTATCTTGAAGAACTCCAGTTACTGCACCAGGTGAGTACCCTTCCCTTCTTTGAGAAGTGTCCCCGTGGGTGCTCCACCTTGAGGTGACTACGAAGCAGCGTTCATGTTCAGTGGCGGGTGCTTCGATGAGTTAGACTCTGTAACTGCCAATATTGTTCAGCCAAAACACGTATCATCATCTGCAAATGACTGAGTGACATAGTGCTGCGTAAAGGTGTGTGCTGAACCCCACATGGCAGCTTTGCAGATTTTTTTCTGTTGGTATGCTCCCGAGGAAGGCTGTTGATGCTGCCATTGCTCTCATGGAGTAAGCCCGCATTGTTGCCGGGGGCTCCTTTTGGAATATGTTGTAAACTAGATATATGCAGCCCAATATTCATTTGGACAGTCTTTGTTTGGATATGGGTAACCTTTTTGATCTCTCTGTAGATGACACAGAGTTGCAGAGATTTACGAAAGGGTTCTGTACAGTATAAGTAGACGACGACTGCCCTACGGACATCAAGGGTGTGTAGTACCCTTTCTCTGTGGCCCTTATGAGGTTTAGGGAAGAAGGTGGGTAAGTATATGGGTTCATTACAGTGGAATGAGGTACATACTTTTGGGGTTAGTACGGAGGACCACTTTATCCTTATGAAATATTGTGTACGGAGAGGCCGCCATTTGTGCTCCTAGCTCACCCACTCTTCTTGCAGAGGTAACTACAACTAAAATAGCGACTTTCATTGATAGGTATAGAAGGGAACAGGTGGCCAATGGTTCAAAGGGCTTGTCTATGAGTGCCCTGAGGATGACGTTGAGGTCCCATGCTGGAATTGGATCTCTTCGTGATGGAAACATATTGTGCAAGCCCCGGAGGATTCTCTTGAGTGAAGACAGAATAATCTTGTATTGGTGGATGTAATAAGAATTAATTTATTAATCAAGAAGTCAATGGAATTTCCATCGACTACTTGATAGGCACTTCTGCCTTCCCCCTTTGAAATGTACAAGAGCCCCAGCATGGGCTCTTGTACATTTCAAAGGAGGAATGTGGAACTTCATGTGCAGCCTGGGGCGAGCAGGAAGTCCCAGCTGCAGGCAGCATGCCAGCTTTGAAATGTACAAGAGTCCCCAGCGGGGGCTCTTGTGCATTTCAAAGTGGAAGCACCCTCATGGAGCCTGGGGTCAGCTGGGGACTCCCCAGTGACCACAGGTTCCACACAGCATTTTCTGTAAGGAGCTCACCCTGGGCTCTATTCAGTGCTGCCACTGAGGTATCCGCTCTCCTCCTTGTCCCCCACTGCCTCTATCTGATAGAGGCAGAAGGGTGGGGGGAAGGAAATCAATTAGTCAACTTGACTATCCGATAAGCATTTGCTTATTGGATAATCAACTAGTTGACTACTCCTTAACATCCTTAGAACGTGAAGATGGAGTGTGTGAATGTCTGCATGGTGCATCTGCCCATTCTGCTATATGAGCAAAGATTGGACTGGATGGAAGCAGTATGGTGGACATATCCTTGCCTGCCACAGATAAGTGTATCAGGTTTGCCTGGGCCAACTTGGGGCTCTGAGTATGACTTTGACTTTGTCCTGCTTGATGTTCAGGACAGTGCATTGGACCAGTGGGAAAGGTAGGAATGCATATGGGAGGGGTGCTTCCCATGTTATGCTGAACGCATCCCTAAAGGATCAGGGACCTATGCCAGCTCTGAAGCAGCAACATGGGCACTTCCTGTTCTTGTGGGTGGCAAAGAAGTCTATCAGCCGAAATCCCCACTTTTGGGATAGATGGTTCAGTACTGTGGGGTTAGGGATGCAAGCAACTTATCAACTATCCGATAAGCAAAAGCTTATCAGATAGTCGACACACTAGTCAACTATTTGCTTCCTCGCTTGCTGCTTCTATTGTGAAGAGGCAACAAGGTGGGGGAAGAAGTGAGGGCGCTGAGAGGAGCCAGCTTAAAAGCCGGTTCCCTCCAGCTCCATGGAGGGAGAGGGGAGCAGGGGCACAGCAATGGCGTTCCGCCGTTAAGAATGTACAAGAGTCCCTACTAGGGTTCTTGTACATTTCAAAGGCAGAATGCGCTAGTCTTTATCGACTAATTGAATAGTCGATGGAAATCCCATTGACTATTTGATTAATTAACTAATCGAAATTTAACATCCCTAGTGGGGTTGATCTCCCACTTGTGTTTGTGTGGGAAGTTTCTTCTGAGAGTGTCTTCCAGGACATTGGTTGCTATAAAAGTGTTGTGTTTCTCAAGATGCACCACTCCCACAGTTTCACCACTTGCTGACATAACTGGTAATATCGAGTTCCCCCTTGCCGATATAATACATTGTTGTGACAGTGTCCATTAGTATCTGTACTGTTTTTTTCCGAATCAGTGGCAGAAAATGAACACAAGCATTGTGACTGCCCTGAGTTCAAGTAGATTTATGTGGTTGTTTGTCTCCTCCTTGTCCCATCTGGCTTGGACATCGTATTTGCCCAAATGGGTTCCCCAGCTTGTTAGTGAGGCATTCGTCATGATTGCTAGTGTTGCAGGTGGTTGCTGGAAGGGGACCCCTCTGCACACATTGTGGTGTAGTGTTCACCACATGAGTGTGGACTTTATTCTGCTTGGCATGGTAAGATGTTTGTTGATATGGTGTGTCTGTGGTCTGTATACTGTCCTTAGCTAGGCCTGCAATGGTCTCATGTGCAGCCAGGCATGTGGTACCACAAACATGGCTGCTGCCATGTGCCCCAGTAGTTGTAGGCAATGATGTACCATTACAGATGGGCTGGCTTGTGCCAGGGATACGAGGTCCTTGATAGCTGAGCACCTGTGCTCTGGTTGTGATGCTATTGCTTTCCTACAGTCCAAGTGTACCCCTACAAATTCTATAGTCTTAGTGGAAGCGGGAATATTTGTAGGCCCAGTATTGAACAATGCTCTGGTGGTTACAACTGCTTGCTGTGTGTTTCATGTCGTGGGGCCTTTCCGCAGGCAATCGTTGAGGTATGGTAATATGAAGACGCCCTCTTTCTTAGGTGGGCCACTATCACCACCACTACCTTCAAGAATACCCTTGGGGCTATTGAGAGCCTGAAAAGTAACACTTTGTATTGGAAATGTAGGTTCCTTATCACAAAACCATCTGTGGGCTGGATGTATTGAGATATGAAAATATGCATCCTAAAGGTTGAGTGTGGACAGCCAAGCTCCCTTCCAAGGCAGGAATGATGGTGGCTATGATTAACACCTTGAACTGTTGATAATGAACAAAGCGATTACGTTTTTGGAGATCTAAAATTGGTCTCCAACCCCTTGACTTCTTGGTGGTTAGGAAGTATTGGGAGTAGAATCCCTTTCCCTGTGTCCTGGTGGAACCTCTTCTATAGCCCCTAATTGTAAGAGATGTGCCTTTTGTATGAGCACATGCTCGTGAGAGGGGTTCCAGAAGAGGGACGGGGCGGGGGGTTGAGGGTGGGAGATGGTAGTGAATGGGATACAGTAATGGGATACTGTAACCCGTTTTGATGATCTCCAAACACCCACGTGTCTGTGGTGATGGTTTGCCACGCTGGATAAAATACAGCTAGTCTGCTGCCAAATGCTGTACAAGGTTTGGATTGCTGCGTTGGAAATCTCGGTGCTGTCTGACCCTTGACCAGACCTTCAAAATGCCTGATGGGATGTTGTGCATTGCCTGGTCAGAGGTCTGTCTGCACCTGTTCTGCCTTGGTTGGCACCTACTGTCATTAGTGTCTTGGGTGTTGGTTAAATGGGGTTGACTTATGTATCTGGGAGAAAGATCTTCGCTGTTTTCTCTTATTCATAGGTATGCGTATGCCTAGGGTCTTTAATGTGGCTTGTGAGCTTTTCAGCGTATGGAGTGAGGTGTTGCTGGATTCGGCAAAAAGCTTCGTGTCCTCAAATGGTAGATCTTCAACTGTGTACTGGACCTCCCTTGGGAAGCCGGAAAGCTGGAGCCACAAAGCACACCTCGTGACAACTGCTGATGCTAAGCACCTTGAGGCCGTGTCTACTAAATCTAAGGCAGCCTGTAGGGCTGTTCTAGAGATCAACGCTCCTTCATTGATGTTCATTTTGAACTGTTCTTTTTTATTATCAGGAAGATTTTCAATAAAATTTGCAAGTTGATCGAATATGTGGTGTGTGTATTTTGCAAGGAAGGCTACATAGTTTGTAATTTGGAGCTGAAGGCTGACTGACAAGTAAGCCTTCCTGCCCATTAGGTCCAGGTGTTTCCAGTCTTTTGTAGGGACTATACGCATGACCTGCTGCATGCCTCTCTGGTTGACTGCATCGACCACTAGAGATTTCAGCAAGGGGTGAGAGAATAAGCTGTCCGCACCTTTCGGGGCCACATACTACTTGTGGTCAGATCTTTTACAAGTTGGTGGGGCCGTTGCTGGTGTCTGCCGTATGGCTTTGGCAGGGTCCATGAGTGCTTCATTCCTGGGAATTGCCAGCTTGGCATGTGGCGAAGCATGCAGGATATTTGTCAGTTTGTGCTGGGTCTCAGGCATAGCTGACAGCAATATTTCCAGCATGTCTGCTACCTATTTAAACAGTTCCTGAAAGGATTTAAAATCATCCCCTACATTGGGTGATGGGGGCAAGATTGTGTTATCGGGTAACAAGGATGAAAGGTGTGTAGGTGGGAGCGAGTCTATTGTTCGTTCTGCCCCTACGATGTCAACTTCCCCTTCGTCTTCTGAGAAGCAGGAACAGTTGGCGAATGAGTGGGGGGGGGACTGAGTTTTGGATGCCTATGGTAACTGCGGTTTGCTGAGGTTGTTGAACTCTCAATACCACCCCTGGGTCCCAATACGGCCAGTTGGTTGGAATGGGTGGCGGAAGCCATTATAGTTGTTGCCAATGCTCCACTTGCTGGGTCAACAAACTTTTGGCTGGATGCATCTGTATAGGTTCCTCATTGTCACTCATTAAAGGCAGTGCTGATATTAGTGTTGAGGAAAAACTGAACCTGGATATATTCATCTGTCCCAAAAATCAGTGTTCCCAGTACTGATTCCACTGTCAGCTCTGTTGTGGTGGTGAACTGAGGCAGCGGAGGTGGGGGGAGAGAGATGGGCACTGGCATTAAGGCTGGAGCTGGTGCCGGTTGTTAAACACATTTACGCGCTTCATTGGTGCTGGCGCTGCAGGAGCTTGTAATGGAGTGTTCGGTGTCGGTGTTGATCGCAGTCTTCCTGGTGCTGGTTTTTGTGCTACTAGCGCTTTTGCTGGTGCCGGCATGGAGCTATTGTGTTTCAGCTCTATGCTCGGCTTTAAAGGAGGAAGGTCGAACCCTCTCCTTGGGGTTGCAGCTTTTCTCGGTGCCGTCTGTTTGTTGTCTGTTTGTCAGGTGCCTTGGGTGGAATCAGCATGGAGGCAGACTTTTTATTCTTAGCGTGCTTTCTTGCTGGTGATACAGACCCTGAGGAAGAATGAGACCTCTTTTTGGCATTTGCGCCCTTTCCTGGTCCCTGGGGCTTGATCTGTTAGGAGCCCCTCTCTCAGATGCCACCCCAGGGGACGCATGCCTGTGTGGTGTGGCATGTTCAGGGTCTGAGGCAGACTGAGGTTTTCTCCATGCTAAGCATTTTTAGCTGGAGTTTCCTCACTTTTCTTGTTCTGGTTGTCAACTTGTTACAGTGAGGGCACTGTTCCGTGTTGTGCTCCTCACCCAAACAGCATGCACACTGAGTGTCTGTCCGATATAGAAATGGACAACCTGCAGCTATTGCACCTTTAAATCCTGGTGAGCCAGGCATGTCTCGGTAAAACCGTTTCTTCCAAGTGGTCTCTGGAAATGGGACTGTCACTATCTATAGATGATATAATGAACTGTGGTTTAAATGACAAAAAGGAATTTTTTTAAAACCATAGTTATTAGTATAGTTAATAGTAATGAACTCAACTAACTATGAACTCTTTCTCTAAGACTAACAACAAAGTAAACTCAGGACAACTGTTCTGCTGCTACCGAAGTTGGCAGCGATCAGAGAAGAACTGAGGAGGCGGTTGGTTGTGCGTGCAGGACAGCCATTCCAAAGGTCGCACATCAGCATTCCACATGCACAGCTGGCCGGGGGGCATTGCTGTCATAAATCTCTAATTAGAGGCGCAGCAGCGCTAGTGCACCACGTCAATGTGGAGCACCCATGGGCCACTCCTTTCAGAATTACAAGTTTCAAACTCTAATTTGAAGTTTTCAGTTATAATTAAATCCTAAACTATAAAGATATTAATGCCATCTGTATTCCAAAACTAAAAGACTTACCAAAGAGGGTGTTCTAAAGTTGATCTCTTCAAAGTAACCATCAAACATTAAACTAAAAGTTGGATCTACACAAAGACAAAAAATTAAATCTTGTGAAATTTTACATTCAGAACTATTTTTCGCCGTATTCCTTAAAGCAGCCATCAAAAAACTGCTAGTGACTTCATATTAATATTCAAAAATACCATTTTAAAAATAATCCTTGTAAATATAAAAGTACATACACTGATTAAAGAGAATGCCAGATACCTTAACTTTGCATTAATGTGTTGCACCCCTTATTCTGACTGTGAAACTAATCCGTTTTATAAAAGTAGATCCTTACATCTGCATAGTTCCATTATTGAAATAAGCATTACTCACCATTTGTAGTAAGAATTATGGGTCTCTTTGCAGTAGCCATGAATGTCTTTATTGCACTTAGAAACCCAGCATCTTCATCAAATATTATATCAACCTATAGAAAGTACAAATAAAGTGTTAAATGTTGATTAACAATTTCATAGTTATGGAAAATCATGTAGCTTATTTTAACTACGGATCTAGCTTTTACCATTAATATAAAATTTTCACCTTAACACAGTGAAGCTAAGGAAATATTCTTGCTATGAATAAAAGCCACTACCTTATGTCTAGTGCATTCAGGACACTGTCTTATATGTTCAAGTTTAACAATATTTTACAGGATTATAGTAGTGATGTTATTGTTAAGGGCAAAACAGCACTAACTTTCTCTAAATTACATTTTGAACTGTAATTTTCCAGTTATTCTGAACCAAATATTTTTTTTTATTTGTGAGGAGAGCATCTGGGGAGAAAATGTCATAAAAGCCATTCAGGTATTCATGTTAAAGTATGGGGAAAAAAAAAACATCTTAATGCCTATTTTGAAATGTTTTAAACATTATTTGGTATTTGGATAATTTTAAAAAAATGTAAAAACTTCACATATGGCATGCATGTAATCTTAAATAAGAAACTAATACCTTTGACGTAATTAAAGAAATTTACTTTAGAACTGTTCAACAAAATTTTGTCAATTTGCTTACTCCAAGTAATTTGTTGATGGGTGAGTAAATATGTAAGTAGATTCCTTCACTCTTAATCATCATGGTAGAAAATGAATAGATTTTCATCTAGGAAAATTTGTGCAAGTCTGGTTCAGAAATATCTACGTGGGTGAAATAACTGCTAGCTGAATTAGTTTAAAAGTTGAGGATAATCTTTATACTTAACTATTTATTACTGAAATAAAGGTTGAACCTCCTTCGTCCGGCACCCTTGGGACCAGTGTGGTCTCAAACAAGAGACTTTTCCAGACCAGAGCTCTCCCAGGGCTCTCCTCCTGGCTGCTGCCTTGGGAAAACCCAGAGGCCTGACCTCCTCTGACCCACCTGCCTGGCTCTGATGCCCCCAACCCGCTCCTAAGGCTCTGTTCCCTGCCCTGTATGAGGGGCAGCAGCTGCTCCATGGGTTCAGCTCCACGTGTGGGGTGGCAACTGCTCTGGGAGTTCCCTGACCCTGTGTATGAAGTGGCAGCATCTGGTCCAGGGGTTCTCTGACCCCGGCCCTCTGCATATGGCAGCAGCTCTCTACTCCCAGGTCACTGCCTCTGCTGACTGCCCATGGCCAGACCAACTCCACTCCCAGACGCTCTTAACCTCTGCAGCCAGACCTCTCTGCTGGACCACGCATGTGGCCAGACCTGGGAGTCCTGGACAAGAGAGGTTCAACCTGTATTAATTTTCCACATCAGTGACATATTGAAGTTTTACCTCTTCAAAGAGTATAAGAGAGGTTGCATTTTTTCTATTGGGTTCCTCTCCTCCCACTTCCTTGTTTGCGGACTTAGTTTGTATATCCACTTTTTCTTTAGATGAATTCTGAGTATTTGCTGCATATAGACAAAGAATAGGCCATAAGATTAATGTAAAATTAAAAGATGATTCAAGCAGTTTAATAGGAAACTCTACAATGCATTAGTTCCCTAGCACTGTCCTATATGTATGAAATGAGAAAAAACATCAACATAAATACTTCAAAACACATCTATTTTCTTTTCTGATGTCGCTAGAGGATAATGATCTGCATGGTTTCCTGGGGATCACTGATTATTTGGGAAATGCTAATTATCAAGGTGCATTAATTTTTAAAATAAAAATAAGATAGGAGAAAGTTATTAGTCCATGCAGGTTTGTTGCCAGCTGTAATGCTTTCTTTCTTCTGTTCTTTATCAGTCTACATAGGTCTCAGTCCTGCAAAGACATATAACTAGCTTAACTTTCCACAAGTGGATAGTCTCATTCAAGTCAATGAGGCTACTCATATTGTAAAGCACATATCACCTCGCTATGCATCAGAAATTACACCAACATAAGCATTAGTGTGGACAGAGCTGTGTCAGTGGGAGAGCGTCTCCTTCTAAAATAGCTTCTACTGCTCAGGGGCTGCAATAGTTCAGCCGATGGGAAAACTCTCGCCAATCAACTTAGAGTGGCTACGTTAGAGAACGTACAGCAGCGCAGCTGTATTGGTGCTGCTGTGCCCTATAGACTCTCTGTTATTTCGAAATAACAATGTGAGTGTCTACTCATCCATTCCATTATTTTGAAATAATGGATGGCTTAATCTGAAATTTGTAAACCTCATTCTATGAGGAATGGTGCGTATTCCAAAATAGCTATTTTGAAATAAGGTGCGTGTAGAAGCTCCTCTGCTGCTATTCCAAAATAGCCCCTCACCAGGGCCATTCTAGGTTAGTTCTCCCCAGTGCCTTCTGGGGCTCTAAATCAAGATAGCACATCTGCAACAAGGAAACCTGCTTCGGAGTAATTTTGAGGCTTCCCTGCAGTATAGATGTGCTATTTCGAAATAAGCTATTTCAGAATAACTATTCTGGAAAAGCTTATTTTAAAACAAGAGTGCAGTGTAGATGTACCTTCTAGTGTAACTGTGCTCTTTGCGTTTGCAGTAGCTGGGCATTTCCAGAGAAAAGGATCCTTTCCTTTTGGTTGGGGCCTCTGGAAACTGCTATAATAAAATAAGTGTATTTTTGTCTAGTCTGTCATAGCTTCAATATAATATTCATGTAATCCATTTCTATACATACTAGCCTATAGTTGGGATGCTAGAGGCCTACCAAAAGTTATAGATATACATTTGATTATCATGCTCTCTTGCACTACATTGTTTCCAAAGTTGTTTGCACAGTAGGATTCATCAATTCCAAAGAGAGACGAGACCAATGTGATCCTCTCTTCTAACCTCCTGTATAACACAGACCATACATTTTCCCCCTCAAATAATTGTGAACTTCAATGTCTCTTAAAATCTAAGGATATGTCTACACAGAACAGCAAGCCATTATTTTGAAATAATGTTGAGATGGAGGACTTATTACTCTGACTCCTGTAACCTCCATTTCACAAGGAGCAAGGGAAATCGAAGGAAGAGTGTTCTTCCTTCAACTTCTTGCTGTGAAGATAGCACCAAAAGCTAAATTAAGCTATTTTGACTTCAGCTATGCAATTGACGTAGCTGAAGTTGCATATTTTAATTTGACTTTTGCCCTGCAGTGTAGACGTGCCCTAATATATTTTTCCAACCCCAACCAGAATAACCCCATTATAAAACAGTAATACTTACCTTTGTTTTTTTCTTGAGATTTTACTATTTCTTCATTATCCTCAGGCTTAGAAAATACTTTGAAATAATTTGCTAATGTTTTAGGGGGTAAACTTCGTTTTAATCCTGTTCCTTTGGGTGAAAGTGGAGGTTTTCTTGGTGAAATAGCTTTCCTGGGAGAATTTATTTTTTCTGAAAGACAAGGTTTACATTAACCTTCAACTTAAAATATATTCTCAAACACTTCTCAGGTAAATTAGCATCAGAGTTTAGTTCAGATGTTTTGTTTAATACAAGGTAATATAACATAACCAGCAATATGCAAAGTTACTTTTTTCCTTGCTTTTGTTAATTCAACTGTGGTTAATATCCCTTACAAGTGCTACAGCACTTATTCTACCATGCAAAAATAATTAGAATGTGAAACTGAGTTTACCACTTTTGATACGAATGTCTTATAGCTTTCTTCTGCTGGCCTCTCAAAGGAAGAGATAAGATAAATGCCACACTTACTTGGGGACTTAGTGCTGCTACCACAGTTAAAGAAGCAAGGTTTATGTGCATTTACACCTTGTTTGTCCACTTGATGAGACTGAGTAGCTTCCTTTAGCTGAGACAGGATCTGTCTACCACTTCGCTGGCAAGAGGCATTAACTTCAAATATCTGCAAGAATAGTTTATGAAAAGGGAATTCAGATGCTCTTTATTCAAAAAGTTGTTATATTGCTTATGTACAAATTGAAAAGCTGACTAAAACAAACCTTAAAACCAAGCTCCTGAGCACAAGCATACACTGCAGCGGTCTTTCCCACTCCTGATGGGCCAGTAATGAGCACAGTATTGCAGAGAATACTCTCTTCTTCACTCTCAGATTTGTCATCTTTGAAATCCATACAGTCCATAGAATCTACAATTATTTCAACCAAAGGAAACAATTAAATAATGTTAATCATTATCAATTCTAGCCATTTCACATCAGAGGGATGTATTAGAGTGAACACAGAATACTTCCCATATTTAGAAAAAAAATACAGTAATTTAAAATATTTTTCAACACAAAAAAGATGTCTTTTAAAGTCAGTATTTTGCAAAATGTAGAAAAATTCTAGCACCTTGCTGACTCTCTGCATCTTTTTCACTCTTCTGACTGTTTTTTTCTTCCCAATCAGCTCTTTTTTTCCATTCTTTCAACCAACTATGGAAAAAACCCAGAAGAGAAATATTAATATTACTCAATAAACTGGCATAGGGCTTATCTTCATGTACAGCACTACGTCAGTTCAACTGCACTGCTTCAGCAAAGACACTACTATTCCGTCAGGTGTAGTTAATCCACCTCTGTGAGAAGTGGCAGCTGTGTCGAAGGGAGATGCCTTCTTGTCCACACAGTGCTGTCTATAATACATACACAGAGCTGTCTATATACAGGGGCTGGGGAGGGACAGGGGCTGATGATGGTAGTTAGGTGGATATAACAAGGTCATTCAGGGCTGTGGATTGTTTACACCCTGAATGATGTAGTTATAGCGACATATGCTTGTAGTGCAGACTGGGATTCATTCCATTTGTGATCCGCTAACTCCACCCACCTCCAGATCATTTTCAGCAGTATTACTGCCTACTTATTCTCCAACTTGAGGTTGTGCATTAGACTTTTTGGCCTTAAATGTAGAACTTTGCTCCTCTTTCTTGATTTTCCTCTTGTTAATGCCAGACCAATTCAAGGCCATTTTGAATTAAGTATGTACTCCAAAGTGCTTGCAACCTTTCCCACCTTGATGTAATCTGCAAATTTCATAAGCACACTTTCCACTCTATTATCCAACTGCTTAGTGAAAATATTGAATCATACTGGACCAAAGTGGGGCACCACTAGATAATCCTTCCAGTTTGACAGTGAACCACTGATCACTCTGAGTATGGTCTTTCAATCAGTTTTGCATCCACTTTATAATAATTTAGCATTAGGGATGTGAAAGGTTAACAGGTAAGCATCATCCTTAATGGGTTATGCTTACTGGTTCTGGTTAACTGGTGGGGGCTAGAGCAGCTCCCCGCCCGCGATAGGGGCCCAGTGCAGACAGGGGCTGCTCTGGGTGTTTGAGCAGCCCGTCTCCAGCAGGTCCAGGGGGGCAGTCACCATTAATTGGTAAATGGGTTAAACGTGAAGTTTACTTCACATTTAACCAGTTAACTAATTACCAGTTAATCAATTACACTGAATTTTCTAGCCCTATTTAGTATAGGCCAAATTCCCAGACTTGCTTATGAGAATGCCATATAGGACAGTATCAAAAAATCTTCATTTAAAAAAAAAAAAATCAATGATGTTTACAAAAGGATACATTTTCTTATATCTGACCTGTGTAACTTTTTTATTTCTACTGAGTTCCCTATAAGTTCACTAGAGTCCTGAGGTTGATATTTTTCTGTCCAGAGCACATCTTCCTTTTCACCATCTACAAGCAAAGAAAAACAGAAACTGTCCGTTTTAAATATTTCTGCATCTAAAAATCTGAATAAGATAACAGTCATAGAATTGATTCAAAACAGGTTTTTGGAAAACACTAGAATTAAGAGAATAAAAAGGGGAAAAAGGACCACCTCACAAAAGCAAAAGAGCAAAGACAGAACTCAACAAATGCTTAGAGACAAACAGAAATCATTGCACACAGTCTAAGTAAGTGCACTGTGTGCCGGAGATTATATGAGAGTTGGGAGGTAAAAGCAAAGCAAAGAAAAAGAATTCACCCTGCTGTTCACACAAACACATCCAAGTTCATGACAGCCTCTAGTATAGAATCAGAGAGTATGGGTGTGTCTAGACTACAGGGTTTTGTCGACAAAAGTGGACTTTTGTCAACAAAACTATACCTGTATCTACACTGCCGCTGAGTTCTGTTGACATAACGTCGACAGAACTCAGAAGTTTTGCTGACGACTGTAAACCTAATTCTACGAGGAATAACGCCTTTTGTCGACAGAGTTCTGACGACAGAAGGTGTTCTTGCATCTACACTGTCCTTTGCATCTACACTCTCATGTCAACAAAGTGGCTTGCTTTGTCGACAGTATCTGTCGACAAAAGCCTGTAGTCTAGACGTACCCTGTAAGACCTAAAGGGACATTGGTCTGACCTAAACTATATCACAATAGGGATATAAATTGTTGTTAAAAAGTTAACTGGTTAACAATACGTTTAACCATTTAAATGTGGAGCAGCCCCTTATCCTCCAGCACAATGCAGAAGGCCCAGCCAGGCTAGAGCAACCCCTCCGCACCATGAAGGCGGCCTGGCTGGGCGGGAGCATCTGCCTGGCTGTGCTGCCAGCTAACCTGTAAGCATCACTCAGGAAGTGGGTCTGGCCCACAAAAGCTCATCATCTAATAAACCATCTTGTTAGTCTTTAAAGTGCTACATTGTCCTGCATTTTGCTTCGGTAAGGCAGTTACTCCTGTACTAGGCCTTACAACTTGTATACACATAAGGGATAAGCTAGATGAAAATAGTTAATGTTAAAAAGATTCTGTTAAATATTGATATTTTAAAACTTAAAATCAGCTATTTTATTTGCACATTACTAGATCTTTACTTTCTTCCTATTTTATATAGTCTTAAATGTATACAGTGAATATACTGCTTCTTTGACTAGTTTACTAATTGTCCCTAGAACTTCCAGATTTTACTGAAAGACTTTTTTTCCTTACAAAAATGTTTTACATTTAAAATGCTCATTTACAGTAAAAGAGACAAATCTAGGGCCTCATTAACATTCTTGCTGTAAACACTAACACAAAGTTGATAAGCCAATACCCTCTGCTATATTTGCATACACCACCACATTCTGATACAGAATTACAACATGTCAACACCACTCCTCCATCAGAATTTGCAAATAAGTGAATAGGACTATTCAATGAGTAAAGCTACAAACCTATTTGCAGGATGAGGGCCTTAATTTTCAGCAGTTTAGTTTCTGACTGTAGCAGTTTGTAAAATTCAAGTAAGATACCCTGCCAGCAGTGACATTTATAAAAACAAAACAAAAAAGCAACGAAACACCATTCATAATTACATTACAAATTTTGATCTAATGTTGCAATAGCACAAATGTTCAAGTTAGTTTTATAAAGTCTTAACCTGACTGAAGTCAATATTTAAAACATAAAGCAAGTAATTTAAATCATGGTATATATTGCCTAGATTTAAATGACTCCATTCTGGGGTTAAGTCAGTATTTCCAGAATGGCTTGTTCATTATATGACATTCCCAATTCTCCATTCCCTCTGTGGATCTGAAAAGAGACTATTTGGAACTGTTCTCTGCAGCAACTGTGGAGATTCCATGAACCTCATCTAGGTCCATTAATTAAATAGCACAAAAGCATTTTCTAAAAACATAAGTAGCAAACGTAAAGTTACCAGAGAAAGGGTTTAATATTGATCCAAGCTCAGTGTCTTCTACTATTTTAACATCAGATTCCTGGGGTCTGTTTGTTTCCATATGTGGTTTTTTTTGCTTTACGGAGGATACTTCGATAACTATGCACTCAGGAGTTTTGGATTTTAGTTCAGTTTCTGCATTATCAACTTGTTTTCTTTTTTTTAATTTGTGGTCTTCAGTTTTTTTTCTTTTCCTCTTGATTTCTTTCTGATTTTCAGAACTTATCTGATCTAGTTTAGAGTTTGTAGTTTCACGTTCTTCCATGCATACTAATGAGCAAAAAATAGAGTGCATTACATAATTTCAAAACTTCAAATGTATTGACACTACATTTCTGTTTCCTAAAATTTTAGAAAAGTGTTAGTCACGACACAAAATATTATTGAAATTTTATTCAAATCATAATGCTTCTATCGATATATTTTGTTTAAAGTTTACTTATTTCTATGTCATCAATAGTTTTAATTATATATATTACTAACCTTTTTTTTTATTTTTGAAAAGTACAGGTTCAGTTTGTTTTTTCAGAAACTGGTAAAAAAAAGTTCTCACGGGAAACTGTGAGTTTGAAGATCTGATCTCTTCCAACAAATACATCCTTAGTATTTTGGAAATAACTGGTCTCTGTCCAGACAGCTACAATATATAGATATAAAATAAAAAGTTATTCAAAATATCGAAAAGCATTGCACCAAATAAGCCTACATGAAAAATTTTACTAGTAAAGCACAGTTGTTTACATAGTTTGTTAAGCACAATGACCACTATAAAGTAGTGTTTCTTAAACTGTGTTCCGCGGCACACTGGTGTGCCAGGGAGAACAACAGAGTTCAAAATGGCCACCCTTAAAGGGGCAGGCGACCTCTTTTTTGGGGGGGCTCAATAGCTTTCCCCTGACCCTTTTCCTTTTTTTTTTGGCTCAACAAAAATAATCCCTGGTGTTCCTCATTAAAAAAAATTGTTTGGTGTTCCTCGGTCTTAAAAAGTTTAAAAAACACTGCTATAAAGTATCTGGCGCTACATACCCTTTCCGATGCTGTAACAGGAAAGACCAAGTTACATTAACCAACTTCAAGTTAAATAAATTAACCATGGGCAGATGCCTTGATTAAGGCCACTGGATTTTGGAAAAGAACAAAAGCCCTGAAAAAGTAAGCCATTTGTATTGATTTATTTATTATGCCAATAAAAGACTAAACATACTAACCACAATTGAATTGTCGTCACTAGATTTTGAATTTATAACTGAGAATTCACCAAGTGAAATAGCGAGTTTTGTGACATCAGTTACTTCCGTGTTCAGTTCTCTTAGCTGGGTTAGAAGAGGACATGACGGCAATGTCAACCTCCACATCACACAATCTACATAAGAATGGAAACAGGTCAGAAAAAGTTCATGGTTAAGTAACTCAGCCTCCTGGATCAAGTGAGAAATAATTGCTCTGAAACCTCCAACCTGGCTATGCCTTCAAAGCCAAGTCTATTTCATTTACACAGTAATATTTTCATATCCCTATCAACTTTACCCTCCTACCAACTAAACAATTCTGCACACGCTCACATATACTCCTTCCTCGCATCTAGTGATCCTGGGCCTCCCACTCCTATTAATAAATTCTGGGCTCCTTTAGTTCTTTGCAAGATTATCACTTCAAGTCATAATACCTCCAGGAGAAATTCTGTCACTCTCCCTCTGAGACACAGCAGTTACTTTGGTTCCTTTCTCTTATTCTCTTAAAAAGAGAGAACACACAGGAGCACAATCCTTCACTTTCTGAGGAAAAAGCAAGAAGCTTAGGGGTCCCTTTGGCTTCAATCTTCTTTCAGTGTCAAAGTAGCAGCAATATGTAGGCTGTTCTATTTCTTCTTATCCCATTCCCTTTCAGTAAAGAATCAGATGTTTCCATGCATCACGTGGCCAAAGCAAGATATTTATTCTCCCTAAATAAGTTGTTTTTTCAGGTCCTATTTTATTATTATACCTTTAAAACATGCTATTTGTCCACTTATGAAGTTAATATGATTACATATTATTGACATATCAGAGCTCTGTTTTAAAATGCATATTTGATAAGACTATTTGTATCAATATGCTTAGTTTTGTTACTGTAACACAAAGAAAAAGTAGGATTTGCCAATTATCATATATATATAGTAGCCCAATGTCCCTGTCAGCCCTGTGCTCCATGGGGAGTGCGAGGCCCAAACAACCGCTTACTCTGCTTGCTCCCCCGTGGCGGCCCAGCTGAGCGGTGCAGAAGTGAGCCGAGCACCACGGCGGGAGGGGAAGGGGGACGGGGTGGTGACATGCGGCATGACAATGGCTCCAGGCCCCGCCCCTGGCCGTGAACGTCACCACCCTGCCCCCTTCACCTCCTGCTGTGTCGCTCGGCTGACTTCCGTGCCACTCAGCCGGGCCACCGTGTGGGAGCAAGTGGCACAAGCGACCGTTTGGGCTCAGCGTTCTCCATGCAGCATGGGGAGTGAGGAGCCCAAACAGCTGTTTGGGCTCTGCGGTCCCCCAAGTGAGAGGCAGGAGGGGGAAGAGAAAGAGAAAAAGAGAGAGAGAGAGGCAGGAGGCAGAGGAGAGCGGGGGGAGGGGAGGGAGGCAGTAGGAGGAGAGAGACACAGACGGAGCAAGAGACCGGAGGCTCAGGAGAGAAGACCGACATGGAGGAGAGACCTGAAAATCCCGTTTTATGACGGGCTAATTGGCTAGTTCCATCATAGTTGTATTAAAACTCTGTCTTTAAACCTCTGATTTTCAAACACAGATCTCCTAAAGTGCTACTTGAATTTACTACACGAGCTCAAGACAAATAAAAACTTACCATCATCCTTCTGCTGTACATGGATGACTGTCTGAAAACAGCAACTTGCCACAGAGTATGCTTCTAATACTGCTGCTTTCTTTGCAATGTGTCTTTTTAGAGACTCTGGCAAACCACTCATCAAAAATTCACGTTTTGCCTTGAACTGCTCATCATCTTGAGAATTTTCAGATACATCTTGGCTTTACACAAAATAAGTGAATTTTATTGTCAATCAAGCTACCAAGCATGCAGAGTTCATAACACGATTTAATATGGAAAAAGTTTACTTATCCCTACCAGTAATTTGACTCATTCCTGACTGTGACAGATAGAAAACCTGAATAAACCTTAGGGTAAGTCTATACTACAGTGTTTTTTCGGAATAACTGATGTTATTCCGAAATAACAGTCCACGTCTACACTACAAGCAGTTATTTTGACAATGTTGAAATAATGACAAGCTGGAGAACTTCTTATTCTGGCTCCTGTAACCCTCATTTTACGAGGGCTAAGGGAAGGCAGACGAAGAGCGCTCTCTCTCTTGGATTTCCTGCTGCGTAGACAGCACCAAAAGCCGAAATAAACTACTTCGATTTAAGCTACACAACTGATGTAGCTCAAGTTGTGTAGCTTATTTCTGCTTTAGCCCTGCTGTGTAGACCTGAATTATGTTTAATACCTGTGGGATCCATTGAATTAAAAACAAAATTGTTTATATATTATTGTGCAATTGCATACAAATTCCCTAGGAGAAGGGGAGTATGTGACATAATTCTTTTGGTTATCAGAACTTTGAAACTTTGCCCTGAGGAGGGGACCCTTTGTCTGGCTGATAACCTATTCATTGTTTCTTCAAAGGTTCAAAGTGTATTCTCTAAAGACCAACAAAGAAATGACATGGGTATAAATAAATAACTTGGTGATGAACTGACTCGAGGCTTTTGTTCGGATACAGCTGAAGAACAGTATCCCAATCCTTAGGGAAGGGTTGGAAAGATTTCTGTCTAGTGAGGTGATCGTTCTGGGTAGAAGCTGTGATGAACATGAAACAAGTCCTAAGTGGAGTTGAATTCTGCTAAGCATGCATTTAGTTTCTTTATTGTTTTTAATATATTTTCTGAGTTATGCTTTTACCTTAAGAATTAAATATACCCTATTAGTGAGAATTGTGTGGTAACTTATAACTATGGGCAATTACACTATTAGTCTCTGAAAAGAAGGCAAGAAGTACTTAGTCTTCTGCAGGGAATAATATACTGAAGGTAGAAAACTGTTCATCCTGGAGATACCCCAGTAAGATGGTAAAGAAGCATACATGTCTACTCCAAAGAGAGGAAGCAGACAAGGGAGTTGACACCCTGAGAGTGGCGGACCTCTGAGGGCAAATCTAGGTATAAATGCCCTAAACAGTGCCTCAGTCAATTTTTATATTATGGTTTTTGCTAAACACTAAGGTTTACCAAGAGTAACAAACCTGAAGATGGAATGTACACTCATCTTCCTGGTTCCCATAATTCTAAGACATATTTTAAGAAGACATTTCATATTATTATAATTATTCCAGGAAGGACTGCTAAGCAGGGATGGTGTTCACCTTTCGAGGAGGGGGAAGACCCTATTTGGGCACAGAATGGCTAACCTAGTGAGGAGGGCTTTAAACTAGGTTCGACGGGGACAGGTGAGCAAAACCCACAGGTAAGTGGAGAACATGGAGACCTGGGTGATGGATCAGAAACGGGAGGGAGCGTGGGCTACAATGGCAGAGAGAAAGGAGGGTCAGGGCAAAACTGGGAGGCAAAGTCAAATCGGGATCTTAGATGCCTATATACAAATGCAAGGAGTATGGGAAATAAGCAAGAAGAACTGGAAGTGCTAATAAATAAGTACAATTATGACATTGTTGGCATCACAGAAACTTGGTGGCATAATACACGATTGGAATGTTTGTCTAGAAGGGTACAGCTTGCTCAGGAAGGATAGACAGGGAAAAAGGGAGGAGGTGTTGCCTTATACATTAAAAATGAACACACTTGGAGTGAGGTGGAGATGAACATAGGAGACGGATGTGTTGAGAGTCTCTGGGTTAGGCTAAAAGGGATCAAAAACAAAGGTGATGTCATGCTAGGAGTCTACTACAGGCCACCTACCCAGGTGGTAGAAGTGGATGAGGCTTTTTTTAAACAACTAACAAAATCATCTAAAGCCCAAGATTTGGTGGTGATGGGGGACTTCACCTATCCAGATATATGTTGGGAAAATAACACTGCGGGGCACAGACTATCCAATAAGTTCTTAGACTGCATTGGAGACAACTATTTATTTCAGAAGGTTGAAAAAGCTACCAAGGGAGAAGCTGTTCTAGATTTGATCCTAACAAACAGAGAGGAACTGGTTGAGAATTTGAAAGTGGAAGGCAGCTTGGGTGAAAGTGATGATGAAATCATAGAGTTCACAATTCTAAGGAAGGGTAGAAGGGAGAACAGCAAAACAGAGACAATGGATTTCAGGAAGGCGGATTTTGGTAAGCTCAGAGAGCTAATAGGAAAATTGTGTGGTCCCATGGGAATCGAGACTGAGGGGAAAAACAACTGAGGAGAGTTGGCAGTTTTTCAAAGGGACATTGTTAAGGGCCCAAAAGCAAGCTATTCCGATGTGTCGGAAAGATAGAAAATATGGCAAAAGACCACCTTGGCTTAACCACGAGATCTTGAATGATCTAAAAATAAAAAAGGAGTC